TGTGACACACACTCTAACAAACAAAAACTGTAACACACACAGTAACACACACTGTACAAACTGTAACACACACTGTTACACACACATTGTACACACTGTAACACGCAGTGTAACAGACACACACACTGTAACAGACACACACTGTAACACACACACACTGTAACACACACACACTGTAACACACTGTAACACACACACACGCACTGTAACACCCACACACTGTAACACACACACAATGTGACACACACTCTAACAAACAAAAACTGTAACACACACTGTAACACACACTGTACAAACTGTAACACACACTGTTACACACACATTGTACACACTGTAACACGCAGTGTAACACACACTGTAACACACACTGTAACAGACACACACTGTAACACACACACTGTAACACACAGACACTGTAACACACACAAAATGTGACACACACTCTAACAAACAAAAACTGTAACACACACTGTAACACACACTGTACAAACTGTAACACACACTGTTACACACACATTGTACACACTGTAACACGCAGTGTAACAGACACACACACTGTAACACACACTGTAACAGACACACACTGTAACAGACACACACTGTAACACACACACACACTGTAACACACACACTGTAAAACACACACTGTAACACACACACACTGTAACACACTGTAACACACACACACGCACTGTAACACCCACACACTGTAACACACACACAATGTGACACACACTCTAACAAACAAAAACTGTAACACACTGTAACACACACTGTAACAAACACTGTAATAAACACTATACACCCTGTACACACACTGTAACACACACTGTCACAAACACTGTAATAAACACTATACACCCTGTACACACACTGTAACACACTGTACACACACTGTAACACACACTGTAACAAACACTGTAATAAACACTATACACCCTGTACACACACTGTAACACACACTGTAACAAACACTGTAATAAACACTATACACCCTGTACACACACTGTAACACACACTGTAATACACACTGTAACACACACTGTGCACACTGTAACACACACTGTAACACACACTGTACATACTAACACACACTGTACACACTGTAATACACACTGTAACACACACTGTAACACACTAACACACACTGTAACACACTGTAACACACACATTCTACACACTGTAACACGCAGTGTAACACACACACACGCACACACACACTGTAACACCCACCCACACACACACACACACACACACTGTAACACACGCACACACACTGTAACACACGCACTGTAACAAACACTGTACACACACTGTAACACACACTGTAACACACTGTAACACACACTGTACACACTGTAACACACAATGTACACACTGTAACACACTGTAACACACACTAACACACACTAACACACACTTACACATTGTAACACACTGTAACACACACTGTTCACACATTAACACACACAGTACACACTGTAACACACATTGTACAGAATGTACACACACTGTACACACTGTACACAATGTACACACATTGTACACACTGTAACACACACATTGTACACACTGTAACACACACTGTAACACACACTGTACACACACTGTAATATACACTGTAACACACACTGTAACACAATTCAATTCAATTCAATTTTATTTTTATTCGGTCAATTCATAACAGAAGTTATCTCAGGACACTTTTCAAATAGAGCAGGTCTAGACCGAACTCTTTATAACATTATTTACAGAGACCCAACAGTACCACCATGAGCAAGACCTTGGAGACAAGGGCAAGGAAAAACTGCCTGTTAAAAGGCAGAAACCTAGGACAGATCCTCCGGCTCTAGGTGGGTGGTCGTCTGTCTCGACCAGTTGGGGTGAGAGAGAGAGAGAGAGAGAGCGAGAGACAGACAGACAGACAGCAACAACGGTATTGGCAATGGCAATCTAGCAGGACCATGGCAGGAGGCTCCACCAGGATCGACAAACCCGGAAGGAAGCTTTTTTTTTTTTTTTTTTTTTTTTTTTTTTTTTTTTTTTTTTTTTTTTTCCCCCCCCCCCCCCCCCCCCCCCCCCCCCCCTTTTTTTTTTTTTTTTTTTTTTTTTTTTTTTTTTTTTTTTTTTTTTTTTTTTTTTTTTTTTTTTTTTTTTTTTTTTTTTTTTTTATCGGATCCATGAGAACCTGCGAGACGAGAAAGCACAAGAACTCCGGGGAAGAAGTGAAGTTAGTAACATGCATTAATGGGACATGAATGAGTGCAGAAAGAGAGAGGAAGGGAGGAGCTCAGTGCACCATGGGAAATCCCCCGATAGTCTAGGCCTATAGCAGCATAACTAAGGGATGGTTCAGGACTCACCTGATCCAGCCCTAACTATAAGTTTTATCAAAGAGGAATGTCTTAAGCCTACTCTTGAATGTGGTGAGGGTGTCTGCCTCCAGAACCACAACTGGAAGCTGGTTCCACAGGAGAGGAGCTTGGTAACTGAAGGCTCTGGCTCCTGTCCTACTTTTAGAGACTATAGGAACCACAAGTAGCCCAGCATTCAGAGAACGTAGTGTTCTAGTGGGGTAATAGGGTACTATGAGCTCTTTAAGATATGAAGGGGCCTGACCATGAAGAGCTTTATAGGTGAGGAGGAGGATTTTAAATTCAATTCTACATTTTACAGGGAGCCAATGCAGAGAAGCTAGTACAGGAGAGATGTGATCTCTTTTTCTAGTTCCTGTCAGTACTCGTGCTGCAGCGTTCTGAATTAATTGGAGCGTTTTAATGGACTTATTGGGGCAACCTGATAATAAAGAGTTGCAGTAATCCAGCCTTGAAGTAACAAAGGCATGGATTAGTTTTTCTGCATCTGTCTGTGAAAGGATGTGTCTAATTTTTCTAATATTACGTAAATGAAAGAAGGCGGTCCTAGAGGTCTGCTTTATGTGGGAGTTAAATGACAAATCCTGATCAAAGATAACTCCAAGATTCCTGACAGTGGTGCTAGAGGCCAAGTTAATGCCATCTAGAGTGACTATATCTTTAGACAATGAGTCTCTAAGGTTTTTGGGGCCAAGAACAAGAATTTTGTTTTTTTCTGAGTTTAACATCAGAAAATTGCAGGTCATCCAGGATTTTATGTCTGTAAGACATGTTTGTATTTTAGATAATTGATTAATTTCATTGGGTTTGATTGATAGATATAACTGCGTATCATCTGCATAACAGTGAAAGTTAATGGAGTGATTCCTAATAATGTTGCCTAAAGGGAGCATATATAAAGTAAATAGTATTGGTCCAAGTACAGAACCTTGTGGAACTCCATGACTAACTGTAGTATTTATTGAAGATTCATCGTTAACATGTACAAACTGCGAGCGATCTGATAAATATGACTTAAACCAGCTTAGTGCGCTTCCTTTAATGCCAATTTGATGCTCAAGTCTCCCCAAAAGAATATTATGGTCAATGGTGTCAAATGCAGCACTAAGATCTAATAATACAAGTACAGAGACAAGTCCATTGTCAGAAGCAGTCAGAAGGTCATTATTAACTTTAACCAGAGCTGTCTCTGTGCTGTGATGAACTCTAAATCCTGACTGAAAATCCTCAAATAAACTATTGTTATGTAGAAAGTCACACAACTCTTTGGCGACTACTTTCTCCAGAGTCTTAGAGAGGAAGGGGAGGTTAGAAATCGGTCTATAGTTGGCTAAAACCCCGGGTCAAGAGTGGACTTTTTAAGAAGGGCTTTAATTACAGCTACTTTAAAGGACTGTGGTACATATGCTGATAATAAAGAAAGATTAATCATATCCAGTAAAGAAGTGCCAATTAAGGGAACAACTTCTTTAAGCAGCCTAGTTGGGATCGGGTCTAATAGACAGGTTGATGGCTTCGATGAAGAAATGATTGGAGTTAACTGATGAAGATCGATAGCAGAAAAAAAATCTAAATATATTTCGAAGTTTACATTGGCAGAAGTCCCTGAACTTGGAGAGCCACTGATAGCTGTTGATGGCAGTTGGTGATTAATTTTCTCTCTAATAGTAATAATTTTATTATAGAAGAAGCTCATGAAGTCATTGCTACTTAAGTTTATGGGGATATGTGGCTCAATAGAGCTGTGACTCTCTGTCAGCCTGGCTACAGTGCTGAAGAGGAACCTAGGGTTGTTCTTATATTCTTCTATTAGTGCTGAGTAATAGGCTCCTCTGGCATTACGGAGGGCCTTTCTATAAATTTTAAGATTATCAAGCCAAATTGAGCGATATTCTGATAATTTGGAAGAGCGCCATTTCCTTTCAGATTTTCTAGCTATTTGTTTTAACTGGCGGGTTTGGTGGTTATACCAAGGTGCTAGTCTCCTATGTTTTAATAATTTCCTTTTTATAGGAGCGATAGAGTCTAATGTTGATCGTAGTGAGCCTGTAGCACTATCGACAAGATTATCAATTTCAGAGGGACTAAAGTCGTTATAGGACTCTGTTAAATTCAGACATGGCATTGAATTAAACACTGAAGGAATCTCCTCCTTAAATTTAGCTACAGCACTGTCAGATAGACATCTGCTGTAGGAAGTTTTGCCTAATGGCTTATAATCTAATAATATAGATTCAAAAGTTATTAAATAATGGTCAGATAGGAAAGGATTATGTGGGAAGACTATTAAATGTTCAATATCAATGCCATATGATAGAACAAGGTCAAGAGTGTGATTAAAACAATGAGTTGGTTTATTTACACTCTGACAGAAGCCAATTGAGTCTATTAATGATATAAATTCATTACTAAGGCTGTCATTGTCAACATCCACATGAATATTAAAATCACCTAGAATAATTACTTTATCTGATTTAAAGACTAAACTTGATAGAAACTCTGAGAATTCAGATATAAAATCAGAGTACGGTCCAGGAGCGCGGTACACTATAACAAATAGAACTGGCTGCAGTGTTTTCCAGTTTGGGTGAGAAAGACTAAGAACAAGGCTTTCAAATGAATTATAATTTAGTTTAGGTTTGGGGTCCATTAAAACGCTCGAATCATATATGGCTGCTACTCCACCTCCTCGGCCTGTGCCTCGAGGAATGTGAGTATTAATATGACTGGGGGGGGGGGGTGGATTCATTTAGGCTAACATGCTCCTCGTGGGACAACCAGGTCTCAGTAAGACAAAGTAAATCAATATCATAATCTGATATTAATTCATTCACTAAAACAGCTTTAGAGGACAGAGACCTGATATTTAACAGTCCACATTGCATTCTCTTATTTTGTGCTACTGAGGAGTTACTTTTAATTTTTATTAGATTTTTATGTTGAACTCCTCTTGTTTTTATTTCTTTAAATAATTTCGGTGGTCGGGGGACAGACACAGTCTCTATGGGGTTTTGGGTGGGTGACTGTTCTAAAGAAAGAGCAGAGAAGTGTGTAAGACAGCAGCTCTGCTTCCTGGTCCTAACTCTGGACTGTCAGGTTTTAGAGATAAACTTCGCCATATTCCTAGATAAGAGAGCCGCTCCATCCAAAGTGGGATGGATGCCGTCTCTCCTAATCAGACCAGGTTTTCCCCAAAAAGGCTTCCAGTTATCAATGAAGCCCACATCGTTTGCTGGACACCACCTCGACAGCCAGTTGTGGAATGACGACATGCGGCTATACATGTCATCACTGGTCACATTGGGGAGGGGTCCAGAGAAAACTACGGAGTCCGACATTGTTTTAGCATAATTACACACCGACTCCACATTAATCTTAGTGACCTCCGATTGGCGTAAACGGGTGTCATTACCGCCGACGTGGATAACAATCTTACTGTATTTACGATTATCTTTAGCCAGCAGTTTTAAATAGGATTCAATGTTGCCCGCGCTGGCCCCAGGGATACATTTAACTATGGCCGCTGGCTTCGCTAAATTCACGTTTCTGACTATGGAGCTGCCAATAACCAGAGTTGGTTCCTCAGCGGGTGTGTCGCTGAGTGGGGAAAATGTATTAGAAACGTGAATGGGTTGGTGGTTTGTACACACACATTGTACAAACTGTAACACGCACTGTAACACACACACACACACTGTAACACACACACACTAACACACACTGTAACAAACAAACACTAACACACACTGTAACACACACTGTAACACACACTATAACCCACTGTCGCACACTGTAACACACACTGTAACACACTAACACACACTGTAAGACATTGTAACACACACTGCACATACACTGTAACACACACTGTAACACACTAACACAAACTGTAAGACATTGTAACACACACTGTACATACACTGTAACACACTAACACACACTGTAACACACACTACATACACTGTAACACACACTGTAACACACTAACACACCGTACACACACTGTAACACACACTACACACTGTAACACACACTGTACATACACTGTAACACACACTGTAACACACTAACACACACTGTACACACACTGTACACACTGTACACACTGTACACACACTGTAACACAAACTGTAACACACACTTTAACACACACTGTAACACACACTGTACACATCATCATCATCAGTGACGTCATTTAGCTCAGTCTGATGTCATTGGTCGTTCTGTCTGTCTGTCTGTCTGTCTGTCTGTAGGAGGTCCGGCTCATCAGGCCGGTCTTCGTCAGGGAGACTCAGTCCTGCAGCTAAATGGACTTCCTGTAGAAACCTGGAAGTGTTCCGACCTCGCCCACACCATCAGGTAACTATATTACTATATATCTATATAAATATATTCTATATAACTATATATCTATACAACTATATTACTATATTGCTATATAACTATATAACTAAATTAATATATTCTATATTACTATATAACTATATAACTAAATTACTATATTCTATATTGCTATATAACTATATTACTATATATCTATATAAATATATAACTATATTACTATATAACTATATAACTATATAAATATATTCTATATTACTATATATAACTATATTACTATATAACTATGTAACTATATTACTATATATCTATATAACTATTAGTGCTGTCAAACGATTAAAATATTTAATCGCGATTAATCACATTAATGTCATAGTTAGTTTTTATCTATTCTAAATGTCCCTTGATTTCTTTTTATCCCAGTATTTTTCCTCATTTTAATGCTCTTATCAATATGGAAAAGTGGATCAGCTTGCTTTGTGCAAATGTTTTTATTGAAAAATCATCCATTGTCGCCTGGCTTTGACGAGGGGGCGGAGAATTCGCATCAGCTGTGTGTTTGGCCATCAAGTGGTATTTCAGACTGGACGAGCTGTGATCATAGCTCAGTTCACAACGACAAAACACACAGATCACTTTGATCTTGTCAATGGAACCATTTGGCAACTTTTTAAAAGTAAACTTTCCATTCAGAATATTATTGGCATCCATTTCCGCGTCTCACGCTCGCCATCCACTCAAAACGTGATGTCTACTACTCTTAAACAAGTGTGTGCGGCGTGCCTGTTTTGTTTCCGGTCTAGCTAGATCCGGTGTAGTGTTGTAGTTTTTCTAACGTTACTAGTTGTTCCAACAGCGTGTGAAAAAAACTACAAAGTGTGCTAGGCCAAAAAGAACGTTAATCTTGCGATAAAAAAATTGACGCCGTTAAAATGGGTTTGCCTTAACGCCGTTAATAACACGTTTAACTGACAGCACTAATAACTATATTACTATACATCTATATAAATATACTCTATATAACTAAATTACTATATTCTATAATACTATATAACTATATATCTATATAACTATATTACTATATAACTATATAAATAGATAACTAAATTACTATATTCTATATTGCTATATAACTATATTACTATATATCTATATAACTCTATATATCTATATTACTATATTACTATATAACTATATTCTATATTCAATAATACTATAATACTATATCACTACTCTCTTATGAATGTGTGTGGATGGGTGAGTGTGGCTGTAGTGTACAGCCCATTAGGTGGTCAAAAGACTAGACTTACTATATTCTATATTACTATATACTGTATTACTTTACTACCGTTAGTTTCAAAATAAAGTTTTACTTTCATTTAATGAATATTTTTATGACATTTTTTTTATTTCACTTTTTAATGACATTAGTTATGTTTTTATATCATCATCCAAATTCGCCTGTGTGTCTCTCTGCCTATCTGTCTGTGTCTGTACCTGTCGGTCTGTCAGGAGCTGTCCCTCTCAGATAGTGTTGGTGGTGTGGAGAGGTTTACCTGAGCTCAGATCAGGATGTGAAGCTTTGCTCCGCCCACCAACAAACAACAAGGTATATAAATGATATATAATATATATAATTAAGGTGTTAAACAGTGACACCTGCTGGTCATAACAGGAACTGACGGTGTGTCTCGAGTACTGTACAAGTACAAATGTAAGGTACTTATGATGATCATTACTAATGAGTATTTAATAAAGGTGCGTTACGTTATACTTTTACTGCTGTACATTAATCTGATAGCTGTTGGTGTTACTTTGATGTTAGTACTCCACTGAGTACTGAACTGGCTATTGACAGGTCTTGGTGACACAGTTAGTCTTTATGCTAAGCTAACATCACTGTGTCTCCTAGACGACCGGCAGGAAGCTGCTGCCTCACCCCACCCACAGTAAACATGACCGGAGACGGGGTCAGGGGTCAGGTGTCAGGTCCAGTCTGGGAGCTCTGGGTTCCCTGTGGAGGGACCGGAAGGTGAACCGGGATGAGGAGGAGGATGACCAGGAGGTGACTGAGTACTCACCTTGCACCGCCACGCTGAAGGGAACCCGGGTGACATCTTCACATGGAGACAATTACATCATCCTGTCACCTGTCAATCCAGGAGGACAGGTGAGTCTATGGGGTCTACAGGGTTAGGGTTAGAACCATGAGAACCTACGAGACGAGAATGCACAAAAACTCTGGGGAAGAAGTGAAGTTAGTAACCGGCATACAGGAGAAATATGATCTCTTTTCCTAGTTCCAGCACTCGTGCCGCAGCGTTCTGAATCAACTGTAATCAACTTTAATGGACTTATTGGGGTGAAGCAGAACCTTTCACTGAATGCAGAATCCTTTGCATGATAAAGAACATTTCAAGCACCATCATGCCCTCTGTTTTCCTAGAAGTTAGAACCCTACAACTCATAACATGTCCTTTCACAAAGAAAGACCTTTCTGCTGTCTAAAAAACTAAACCTAGAACCAACCTAGAACCTTCCTTCTGAACTCTTCCTTTAAACATTAATAGTAACTTATCTCCTGACTAAACACAGAACATAGAACCTTTAACCTGAACTAGGACCTGACCTAGAACATGTCACCTGAAATACAGTAGATCTTTGTTGAACAACTTCCTCCTAACTGAACCTTTCATCTGATGTTGAACATGGTGCAGAACCTTTGACCTAGAAGAAAGAACCTCACATTGAACCTTTTACCTGATCTAGAACATATCTCAGAAGCTGATAGCACCATACCCTCATCAAGAACCCTAAGAACCTAGAATTTACATAACAAACACTATCAGTCAGATTATCAGTATGTTGTTGTGTGAAGAACTCTTGATAATAACAAGGTTCTCCATCTGTTTGTGTTCCAGCTGCTGCAGCCGGTTTATCATGACAGGAATGGAACAATCGGTAGGATGTCCACACTGAGTACTGATAATCCATTCTGAGCATTGACAAATGTATTGATTAAATCACCTCTGTTGTTAATCACCAGGGCGTCTGTACCAGACTCATCCTAGCAGGGTTCAGAACCTCCTCCAAGACCCTCGACCCGGATCGTCACAGCGACCGTTCACTGGCCACACCTCCACCCTGCCCCCACCCCCCTCCTCTTCTACCTCCTCTTCATCAGCCCCGCCCAGTAACTATGGCAACTACCAGAATTGCACCATCGTCCAATCACATCTCCCCTGCTCCTCCTATGGATCCTACGTCACCCTGCCGCCCAAAACCCTCATCTTCCCCATCTTTGTCCAGGTTAGAGTCTAGAACCTTTTTAGCCTGTCCCAGAACCAATCCAAGACCCTAATACCTAACATAGAAAACAAGGTGGAACCTTTAACCTGACCCAGAACTCAGAACCTGGAATCACTGACCCAATACCACAATGTTAGAACCAGGTCAGAACCTAAAATCAAACCTTATATCCAATGTCAGAACTTCTTCCCTGCTATGGAATCTATTCTAAAATCTAGGATTCTTCCTCCTGACAACCCTGGAAATATTCATGTGGACCTTTTTAAAAGGAAAATAAATAAGGGTAACATTCTAAGCTCAATGTTAGAACCAAATATCTTCATTTTCCCAATCTCTGTCCAGGTCAGAACTTAGATTCACCTGAACAATCCCCAACCAAGAACTTAAGATGGAAACTTAAATCCAACCCAGAACCTCAAATAGAATTGATCCTACTCTTTCACGAGTTACAACTCAGAACGTTTAAGCTAAACATTAAAACTGAAGAACCACATTAAACCTAGAACTTTCCCTGCTCTTGTTAGAACCAAAGATAACTATTGTCAGAACCCCAAATCATTTTAAGAACCTTGTACTTATTATAGAACATGATTCAGAACCATTAGCCTCGTCATATTCAGCCAGAGACTTAAACTAGAACATTTCTTTTGACCCAGAACCTAACATAGTCTTTTGTCCTGATGTGTCCTAGATGCTTTAATCAGCCCCAGAGCATTTCACCTGAATCTTGTTGTTTGCAGCCTCTGGATCTGTGCAGTCCAGACAGAACCCTGCTGATGGCGGAGGAAATGGTTTTGCACCAGGCCGAACTGCTGCCTGCAAAGGTAACTGTACTGTAAACATCCTGTAAATATATTGCAAACATAGTAAAAGTACTGATGTTGGGACAGTACTACTCATACTACTGCACATCTAATAGAGATTATTGATCATTTGTACAAAATAATATTTTACACATTTTACTCTCTAGAGTCTAAATCTGATCCTGAAGGACACAACGACCTGAACCAGGATCAGTTTCACACTAATGGATCTGTACTGCTGACACACACACACACATAGTTTCTGGGAACGTGCTGCGTTTAAGTTTCATGTTTTCAGTAAAAGTGAAGATCAGGAGGAAGACGAGACGTCTGTGGGACACTATTGATGTTAGCAGAGGTCAGAGGTCAACATGATTTTACTTACAGTCTCTACAATACTCAGAATGAATTGAGACATTTAAAAAGGATGTTATTCCTCTGAAACATCTGCTTTTTCTACAAAATCTATTCAGAGCAACAGATAATTAGTAATCGATAAGCAGTAATCAATAATGACACTAAACTCTGATCCAGTATGGATCTTTTTGGTGTGGTTTAAAAGAAATGTTGTGACATACTTTACAATCCGTGTTGTTGCTTCCATATTCACATATTCTGCAACATTTAGTACATAGAAACCGATAAATATAATATTGATTGTTTGTTTGTTTGTTTGTGTTTGTGTGTGTGTGTGTGTCAGGTGACTGTGTTGATCTACAGTGACCTCCTGCTGTTCACCAGAGAGGACGATGCCGGACGCTGTAACGTCCTGCAGAGTCCCCTGTACCTGAACACACTGCAGCTCAGAGAAGGTAAATATCAGTTGTCTGGCTCCTGATTGGTTCACGCAGTCGTTTTTGTTTGTTTCCAGGAAATAACAAACTGTAAAATCAAATGAAAAATAACATTGTTGAAGCAGAAACTGACGTAAAGAACCAGACAATGTGATAAAAAGACAATCGAATCAATAATCCGAAAATATTTCCACCCTAAAACTGATTGAGCTGTAAACTGAATTTTCTGAATGTTCTGTGATCAAACACATCAATGCTGCTGTTAATATTTACATTATTAATAAATGTTTAAAAATGTGTCAACATGCCTTATGCTGTTAGAATCATCCTGAACCTTGTAAGTACGGACATCCACCGATCAGCAGTAACACTGTGAGCACTGGACTCCCTGACAGATCCCAGACCAACAGACTGCTCTGCACTGTGTGTTCTGACCTCTTTCTATCAGAACCAGCATTAACTGTTTCAGCAGTTTGAGCTACAGTAGCTCGTCTGTTGGATCGGACAACACGGGCCAGCCTTCACTCCCCACCTGTATCAATGAGCCTCGGCCCACCATGACCCTGTCTCTGGTTCTGTTCCTTCCTTGGAAACTCTGCAGGCCAGGAACATCCCACAAGAGTTGCAGGTTTGGAGATGTTTTGACCCCCCACACACTGACATGAGCCCTGATATACCCCCCCCCCACACACACACACACACACACACACACACACTGACAGGAGCCCTGATACCCAGATAATCAGTGTTACTGGAAGGGCTCACAGTGTTACTGCTGTTCGCTGTAGAAGGTTTGGGACATTTCTATAAGAACAGAATTAACTTCCTCTAATCAGAGGAGGGCCGCCATGTGTGTCCATTGTGTGTGTGCAGTGTCATCAGAACCCCTCCAGATCTACTTCCTGCAGAGCTCTCAGAGCTGCTGGCGTTGTCTCTTCAGTCTGGAGGCGTACAGCATCGAGCAGAAGGTCAGAGTCAGCCTCTGTCTCCATGACAACATCCACCTACAGCTGGTCGCCACGGAGACTGGACACACCCACCAGGTAGGACCACAGCGAACAGTGTAACTACAGCTAACACTAACTACAGCGGACACTGTAACTACAGTGAACACTAACTACAGCGAACAGTCTAACTACAGCGAACACTGTAACTACAGTGAACACTAACTACAGCGAACAGTCTAACTACAGCGAACAGTCTAACTACAGCGGACACTGTAACTACAGCGGACACTGTAACTACAGCAAACACTGTAACTACAGCGAACACTGTAACTACAGTGAACACTAACTACAGCGAACACTGTAACTACAGCGAACACTGTAACTACAGTGAACACTAACTACAGCGAACAGTCTAACTAAAGCGAACACTGTAACTACAGTGAACACTAACTACAGCGAACAGTCTAACTACAGCGAACAGTCTAACTACAGCGGACACTAACTACAGCGGACACTGTAACTACAGCGGACACTGTAACTACAGCGGACACTGTAACTACAGCGAACACTGTAACTACAGTGAACACTAACTACAGTGAACACTGTAACTACAGCGAACACTGTAACTACAGCGGACACTGTAACTACAGCGGACACTGTAACTACAGCGGACACTGTAACTACAGCGAACACTGTAACTACAGTGAACACTAACTACAGCGAACAGTCTAACTACAGCGAACAGTCTAACTACAGCGGACACTGTAACTACAGCGGACACTGTAACTACAGCGAACACTGTAACTACAGTGAACACTCACTACAGCGAACACTGTAACTACAGCGAACACTGTAACTGCAGCGAACAGTGTTACTGCAGCGGACACTGTTACTGCAGCGGACACTGTAACTACAGCGGACACTGTAACTACAGCGGACGGACACTGTAACTACAGCGAACACTGTAACTACAGTGAACACTAACTACAGCGAACAGTCTAACTACAGCGGACACTGTAACTACAGTGAACACTGTAACTACAGTGAACACTAACTACAGCGAACAGTCTAACTACAGCGGACACTGTAACTACAGTGAACACTGTAACTACAGTGAACACTAACTACAGCGAACAGTCTAACTACAGCGAACAGTCTAACTACAGCGGACACTGTAACTACAGCGGACACTGTAACTACAGCGAACACTGTAACTACAGTGAACACTAACTACAGCGAACACTGTAGCTACAGCGAACACTGTAACTACAGCGGACACTGTAACTACAGCGGACACTGTAACTACAGCGAACACTGTAACTACAGTGAACACTAACTACAGCGAACACTGTAGCTACAGCGAACACTGTAACTACAGCGGACACTGTAACTACAGCGGACACTGTAACTACAGCGAACACTGTAACTATAGCGAACAACACACTGTTCATGAACACGCTGGAGATGTGCACCATCTGTGCCCAGGTGCCTTTGAGCAAGGTGTCCATTTCTCCATGATTTTATTTCAGGCCTTTGTGTAAAGTAAGACTGAAAAAAATGTCCCCATTGGGGATTAATAAAGTATACCTCCTCCTCCTCCTCCTCCTCCTCCTCCTCCTCCTCCTCCTCTCTCTCTCTCCTCCTTCCTCCCCCTCCTCCTTTCTCTCTCTCTCTCTCTCTCTCTCTCTCTCTCTCTCTCTCTCTCTCTCTCTCTCTCTCTCTCCTCCTTCTCAGCTCTCAGACCTCCCTTCAGACTTTGGCCTCCTCTCTCTCCGTCACTCTGACCTCCTCTATCGTCCTTCCTCCCCTTACTCATCCTCTGATCCTCCCCTCCTCCGCCCCTCCTCCCCCTTCTCCTCTCACTGTGACCCCATCAGGCCTCCTTCCCCCTCTCCTTACTCTCCTACTCCTTTCTCCTCCTCGACGACTCCTCCACCCTTCTCACCTCCTTCCAGGACCTTCACCACTGCATCTCAGCTTCTCCCCCCACCTGCCCCCTCCAACTCCTCCACCCAGAGGAGTCCAGTCTGGAAGGAGAGAGGAAGAACAGAGGAGGAGGAGGAGAGGAAGAAGAGGAGGCAGGAGGAGGTGGAGGAGCGGCAGCAGGGGGAGGGGGAAAGTGCCTCAGAAACATCAGAGAATGTGGGAGGTGTTGGGGGGCGGGGCCTTCTCCTCAGCCCCCACCACTTTAACATGAAGGAAGAGGAAGAGGAGGAGAGTGATGAAGATGAAGAGGCAGAGGAGGGAGGAGGTGCTGAGGAGTTTATATCCAGCTACAGACCTGCAGGTCAGTCTGAAAATCCAGTGCAAGCGAACACCAGACTCCATTCAGAAAACCAGAGATTTTAGCTCGCAGAATAAAACCTTCTGAAAACCTGTGTTAAAGTAGCTGAATGTATAAATAATGATTATACAATAAATAAATATGGAATATGTAGAATATAATATATGTAATATATAATCTATAATAAACAGTGGCTCTATTGTTTCTTCAGTTCTTCGTCGCTCTCTCTCTGAGGGTTCTCTACTGCAGGAACCTCGATCGCCCCGCTTCCTGTCCGACAGCACCATCCATCGACTCACCCGGCCCGCAACATTTGACCTCGATCCTGACCCTCGGCCCCCATCCATTCACACCCTGAGGAAACAGCTGACCAGAGAGGGGGGGTCTCTGTCCCACATGCTGCTGCTGCTCAATGGCACCAAGGTAGAGACCAGAATAGACCTGGACAGACCAGTAAAGAGCAGTAGAGTCTAAAAGAGTCCAGAGGAGGGCAGCAGAGAGACCAGCAGAGAGCAGGGCTGAATAAACATTTGTTATTGACCTCTGTATAAAATATTATGAGGTCAAATATGAACAAAAATATGATTCCATAAAAACAACCGACTGCATTATTAAAACTACTTTATTTATAACAAAAACAGTGACAAACTCAAGGCTGTAAGAAGGAACCAAGCAGGGTTATCATGTCATAACATAAAAGGAATACAGCACCAGTAGAGACCAGAGGGGTATTGCACAAAACCAAGATAAGGGATTAAGCCGGGATATATTGGTTATCCTGGCTGAATTTAGCCTCAAGTCGGTTGCATGAAAACAGGTCAAACTTATCCCGGCCAAGTTACTATGTGAATTTATTCTCTGCAGTTAGCCTGCTCCAGACCAGGCTAACAGCCAGGCTAAGATTAATCCTAGTGATTCACCTGTATTTCCACCGTCAATCCTGTGAGGAATTAATGTGTTTTACAGCATGTCCATGGTCTTTCCAAGTATGTTGCATCATTTTAATTATCCTGCATTAAAATATTACATATATATTGTCATTTCTCATTTCATTTAAATCTGTTGGCTGTTTGTAATTGCAACAGTCTTTTTATATTGATTCAAGTGGTAGTATTATTACTCAGGACAAGTGTTATATTGCTATGCTAATGAAGACTGCTTCTCAGATTGCATAAATATGTGGTTATTGCAGTAATTGAGATTACAAAACACAGCTGATGAAGTTGCAAAGGTGTTTTCAATGAAATCTGTGACAAGGGCAATAAAGTATATATACACACACACACACACACACACACATCTAGTACATAGTGTTTTTTATTATTTCCCTACTCTTACTGTTTATTTATACTGTTTTCTCTCTATCCACTTTGCTGCTGTTACATTGGAATTTCCCCATTGTGGGACAAATAAAGGAATATCTATCTATCTACCTACCTACCTACCTACCTACCTACCTACCTACCTACCTACCTACCTACCTACCTATCTATCCAACTCCCATTCCCGTTCCCTCTTCATAATGGCTTGCCCTTTCTTGGAGGATGTACTGGATGAGGAAGCCCTAATCCTCAGACGAGCATTTAGTCATGAAAGAGTCTTCTGGGACAGGTCAGACCCATTGGCTGTTGGAGAGGACTATCTCATTGAGAGATACAGATTCTCAGGTGATGGACTAAGATATTTATGTAGGCTGCTGGGTCCAAAAATACAGCACCAGACGGCAGGAAGCCATGCTCTCACTGTACCACAGATGGTCTGTGTTACATTGAGATGTTTTGCAAGTGGGAGCTTCCTTTATTCTGTTGGAGATGCAGAGAACCTCAATAAAGGAACCATTTGCAGCACATATCCTGGCTTGGTGGGCCGCCCCCTGTGCCAGTTCTATGGGCTTTTTTTAACTGCTACAATCATACAGACATTCAACATGTCAGCAGATACCTAATCTATTCACCTCATTTGTTCACTGTTATCTACTTTAGAGTCACTGACCAGCCTGCAAAATGTTCTTGTATTTAACTTTAACTTTTCTGATGTAACTTGCTTCCAGGTCCTTTTATGGCCAGACAAGTTTGTTCTTTATGAATTGTTTGCACTTAATCATACTCTACATTTAAGTAACATGCACCTCTACTTGCCACATTTAAAGCAAAGTGTACAACAGTTGATTAGTGGACTTAAAGTAACTCCTTTAGTCCTTTAATTGGAGCCTAATGATGACAGTTCCAGTGGAGCACTGTTTATTCATTGTACAGTTTTGGACTACTTAAGCATTAAGCCGGTCCGCTATTGTCTGCCAGGCTTTCTCTCTTTCTTTAATTATGGCATTGGTATTGCCTTTTTTTCTTATATCTTCCACCTCTTCATAGAACTCCATCAGGAGCTGTTGTTCAGCGGCCGTGAAATATGAAGCGCGACTCTTATCCATGTTCCCATCGGTGATTCTGTGAGCGATCACGAGGTCTAGTTCAGTATGTCGTGAATGCGCACTTATCCCGACTATCTACACCTGGCTTAACATAGCCGCACCTTTTAATCCTGGCTCGGCAAACGTGCAACCAATTAAGCCAGGATGCGCCGAGCAGGCTAGGTCAAGCCGCGCTTGCTCAATTATCCTGGATTTCTTTATTCTACTTTTGTGCAATACCCCTCAGTAGTCTGACTGTTGTTTTTGTTGTTGTGTTGGTTCAGGATGTTGAGCTCAGAAACCTACAACTGAAGAAGAAGACGAAGAGTCTGTAAGTAAATAATAATAATAATAATACATTTTATTTTTTAAAAAAGCGCTTTTCTGAATACTCAGACACTGTTCTGGTTTAATGTTGGACTGAACCAACAGGGGTTCATTTTAAACTTGATTGCATTAATATGAGATTAGCTGTTCCTGAAGGTGTATTTCTGCTTCCTGTTGTTCAGCCAGTCACAGGTTGTTGTTGTTGTTGTTGTTGTTTACTTCCTGTCTGTCTGACTCCTCAGAGCCACTGACGTTCGGAGCCGCCTGCCGTTTTTACGGTGGCGGAAAAACAGTTTCTGTGGCCATGGCAACAGTTTGGAGAAAGCTCTGAGAAACAACAGGTAGGAGCCCTAAACTACTACTGGTCCCAACAACTGGTACCAACTGGGTTCCTACTGGTTTTATTTGGTTACTAACAGTTTTCAGCTGGTTCCTTCTGGTGTCACATGGGTCCAGTTTGTTCTTACTGGTTCTGTTTGGTCCCTGATCGTTCCAGTGTGTCTCATGTGCGTGTTTTGTTTTTCAGACCATCTGCGCGAGAGGTGCTGAGGTGGGCGGAGAGTCTGGAGGCTCTGCTGACAAACCAGTGTAAGACACTTCCTGTTTGTCTCTGTGTCCAACCCATAGTCTGTCCCTATTGGCTGACAGTCTCCCTCTTCTCTTCTAATTGGTCAGATGGTCTGGCAGTGTTCCGTCACTTCCTGAGGTCAGAGTTCAGCGAGGAGAACCTGGACTTCTGGTTGGCTGTGGAAAGATTTAAGAGGACACGCCCCCTCAGCAAGATGGCTGCCAGAGCCGCCAAAATCTACGACGAGTTCATTTCTACCAATGCAGCAAGACAGGTGTCTGTCTGTCTGTCTCTCTGTCTCTCTCTCTGTCTGTCTGTCTGTCTGTCTGTCCTCTGATTGGTCATGTGAAACCGCTGCTCTCTGTCTCCAGGTCAACGTGGACTCATCTGTCCGAGAATCAACCAATCAGAGCTTGCGTCTTGGCGTTAACCCCGCCTCCTTCCAGCTGGCCCAGGAGCAGATCTTCGGCCTGATGGAGACTGACAGTTACCCACGATTCCTTAGGTCCCACCTCTACGCTCAGCTGGCCAATCAGGGCGCTCACACAGCCTCAGAGTCAGCCAATTAGAGCGAAGCTGGGTCTGTACCTGTCAGCTAATCGTGACTGAGCACAGACTGATGGCCAGCCAATCAGAAGCTCCAAGATCAGAGCCTCTGATTGGCAGCCCACCAGCTCTATACAGAGAAGAACCAACCAATGAAAAGAAGAAGTTGTTCAAAACCGAACATACAAAAGATATATAAAATCACATAGAAGACAGACGTCTCTACTTCCTCCCACTGGAAACCCCATTTTATATCTTCCAATAACTAATTAAAACCTAACTGATGATAAAAATAAACACTTGAACAAACAGCGTGATAGTAACAACCTAAAATGACAGAAACCACCTTATGTGGATGGTCCAGACTGAAATATCTCAATACCTACATGGTGGAAAACTTGTTTAATGAGTCCAATTCTGCCTCAGCTGGATTGTGTGTTTACTGCTAATGAGCTAATGTTAACATGCTAACACACTAACCTGCTAACATGTTGATGTTACAGCCTCACAGCACTGCTAGTTTACTAGAGAATTTATCTGAACACGAAGAACATCAGAATCAGTAAACTTGTTTTTATTCACATTTTATGACAGTTTTTTATTGTTTTTAGGCAAGACCATAAGTGAAACTATTAACTGTGTTTTATTAGAGTAAACAGACCATTATTAAAGATGACTGCTGGATGAAGAGAAACAGTTTTAAAATAAATGATGATGCTGTTGGACTCATTGTTACTTTTTCTGTAGTTTTCTTTGTTTTACAGCGGTTCTTTTTTCAATAATATCCCAGTTTGAAATGGTAACCAAATAAAAAAAATGCAGTGCAAAACAGTTTTTGGTTGAAGAAAAAGTCCCGTACAGAGGAACAGTACAGTGCTGCCCCATCACTGTCTGATTTACTAAACAACCTGTTACTGTAAGAGAACAAAGCTTTGGGAGGGTTGCAGCTTTATATTCTTCCTGATGCTGACAGTATTTGGTTCTTTTCTCAGTGTTTTCAGCTATTAATCAATTTTCTTGATTCTCATCTGTCATTTTATATATAGAATAATATAATATATAGAATATATAAGATAATATAACATGTAGAATAATATAATATATATAGAATATATAGAATAATAGAATATAAAATAGATTATCTAGAATAATGAATACTGAAACTTTCTTCATCTTTTTATTGAACTTATTACATTATAATTATTGTAGGAATTATGCATGATGCATGCCCCTGCAGTACTCCAATGTACCACTAGGGGTACATGTTTCCCCATTTGAGAACCAGTGCTGTGGGGAAGGGTTAGGGTTAGGGTTCTGTATTAAAGGGATACTATGCAGTGGTCCGGTTTTGTCAAACAGCTACCCCTAGAGTCGCTGCGGAGTACTTGTATTTAGCGTTAACTGTCGTAAATACCACTCACCAGAGCCGTCTCTATATACGGCTCTGCGTCTCTGCACTCACGGCCTGATCCCCTCCCCCCTGTATACCGGTACATAGATAGATAGATAGATAGATAGATAGATAGATAGATAACTTTATTAATCCCACAATGGGGAAATTCACTTGTCACAGCAACATTTGAGTGAAATAAATACAGATATAAAAAACAGGAACATTCGCGTACAGCAGGTCCAAGGTCTTATTGTCTCTGGTGGTGCATGTGACAAACTGGTGGTAGGTTGGGAGTGTGGAAGAGAGAGAAACGTGGTTGAAGTCCCCTGTGATGATGATGAAGGCCTCCGGGTGTTTCGTTTGTAGTCCTGCAGTCACAGTGTGGATGACGTCACACGCTGCTTCTGCTTTCCCAGACGGAGGAATATAGACAGTGATGATGATAACACTGGAAAGTTCACATGGCAGATAATATGGACGAAGTCCGACGGCGACAAGCTCGATGTCCGGGCAGCAGACACACTCTTTCACACAGACGTGCCCGGGGTTACACCACCTGTTGTTTATGAGCATGGCAAGTCCCCCTCCTTTCTTCTTGCCGGTCACAGTGGTGTCCCTGTCGGCCCGAACTGCCTGGAAGCCGGGCATGGTGACGTTGGAGTCCGGTATCTACTCGTGTAGCCACGTTTGTTTCCAGTGATGACTGCAGGGATGTAACGTTAGAGTTTAAACCTCCTCTTCTTCATCCTCTGTTTAACCCCCGCTCTGTAGCCTCGCAGTCTCCTCCTCAGCTCCTCCGGTATGGAGGGTCTCTCTCCAATCAGGATGCTCGGGTGCCTCAGGGCGATCATCTGGTCGCGGGTGTAAACAATGCGACTCCTCATTGCCATGGAGACCCGTGCAAACAAAAACTAAGTGCTCAAAAATGCCAAAAAAGTATTTAGGCGATGTGAACAAAGTAAGAAAGTAAGAAAAGAGTTAAAAATAGCAAAAAACACTGGCTAAAAACACACTGAAAACACACATGTTCAGTAGGGTGGAAGCTCGGACATCGAACAGGCAAAGATAGACTCCGAAGATGTCTACTGACCAGGTAACGTCTGAGTGAATGCCGTAAAGCAATTTGTGATTCTCGCAAGATTTGGCAGGGCGCCACCTTTCAGACTTGCATTGCTGGTTCTGCCAGCGGCGTCCCTCTCCTGCTTTGCTATCGGGATGATTTGCTATACTACGACTTAATTTCCCATCGAAATGACTTCGAAGCTGTTATATTAAAGTAAAAATCTTTGCCTAGTGTGCGTTTAAACCCAAAGTGTTTAAGCAGTGGGACCAGATCTAAACCACAACCTTGGTCAATGTCACATGTTTGTGACGGTAGGGGAACCGGAGAACCCAGAGGAACCCATACAAACACCAGGAGAACATTCAACCCTACAAACTTCTGATGGTAAGAGAGATTTTTTTAATTCCTTCATGTTAGATATTAATTATTATTATTATTAGTATAATCTGAGGTTAAAAGTTCACTCCAAACATTTATATGAGGTAACAACAGCACACTGTCTGACACTGTGGAGCTGCACCAAGTGGTAAAAAAAAATCATACTGTGAATATTCTGAAAGATATTACAGTATGATTCAAGATTAGTGGAGATGATCAGTTTTGCATCACAATTTTCATTTTCACTGAAAATACAATAAAATGATGATTTATTAGTTGGTCTGTAATAAACATTGTCAGTACTTCACTATAATGCTGTCTGTAATATTTTACCTTCATATCAAACAAACAAAATCTCCTGTGATTTACATATTACACTCATATTGTGATTTCAATAATATTAAAAGAGTGAAAGAAAGAAACTGTCTGTGAAACTGTCAACTCCTTGACAAACAACAAACACATCACTATTGTGAGGAGGATCTGTGAGGAGGAACACTCAGCTGTTTGGTAGATAAACATGGCACGTTTATCCTGAACTGTCTGAACAAAGTGAACAACCTAATAAAGAGATGAATTGAAGACGTTTTATTAAAGGCAGACAGAGTGGAAACCTACAGAACGTCAGTCCATCAGAACAACAACCTGTCTTCTACCCGGCCAGGATGTGTTTGACAAACTCGGTGTAGTTGATGTGTCCGTTCGCGTCCTCCTGTCCCACCATCAGCCGGTCCACCTCGTTCTCTGTCATCTTTTCTCCCAGCGTGGAGAGGACATGGCGGAGCTCTGCCCCCATCACCGTGCCGTTGCCTTCCTTGTCAAATACCCTCAGACCCTCCACGAAGTCCTCGAAGGTGCCCTGCTCCTTGGACTTGGCCACGTGCTGCAGCATCGGCAGGAAGGTGTCAAAGTCCAGCAGCTTGACGTGCATCTCCTCCGCCTTCGGCCTCCCCAGGAGCTTCAGCACCTCCTCGTTGGTGGGGTTGTGGCCCAACGCTCTCATCACGTCTCCACACTGAGCGTAGGTGATCTTCATCTCGCCTGCAGGTGTCTCATCGAACAGTGTGAAGGCGTCTCTGAACTCCTCAATTTGATCGGGGGTGAACTCCACCACGATGCTCTTCAGGTCCACCTCAGGAGGTTTGGGCTCCATCTCCACGGGTTTGGGAGGTGGAGCTGGTTCCTCCTTCTTTGCCTCCACCTTCTTCGCCTCTGTCTTCTTTGGTTCCACTTTCTTCGGAGCCATGCTGCACAGAAGACGGACAGGGATGGAGGAGTCAGCAGCTTTATAGCAGGATGAGGTGGGTGAGCGAGGCATGAGAGAATGATGGAATGGGGAGAGAGACAGAGCGCAGCCGACCAAAGAAGGAATGAAACTGGAATAGAAACACTCAAAGAGACGATAAGAGACAGAAGATAAGACGCTTCCAGTACAATCTGAACCAGTTTGGACAGGATCCTCTCAGGAACTCTGACCTGCAGGAACCAACAGGAACCAGTGTAATACCAGTATAATAAAGTTTTATTCAAACTAGGAGTCATCGGACAGTCAAATACTGATTCACATGCTGAAGGGTCGAAGTAACAAATTGCAACTACTCACATTACTGTAAGTAAATGATAATTAGGTCGTGTTTTCGGGTACTTTTTTAAACCTGTAATTTTATTTTTCATTCTTGTACAGTAGTCTGCAACCTGTGGCTCTTAGCCCCTTTCAGTGAAATGATCAACAGTGAATTGTTAACATTTATCATTGCTGTTGGTTTAAAGTGATTCTAACATTCTCCAGTTGTAAAATTGTGTATCCATTAAACACAGAATAAATAATGGTTTCAACATTTCATCAACTAAACTGTGTGTCATACATTACGAACCCTGACCACGAGCTAGCTCTGGACTCTGGACTAGTTTGCTGGTTTTCAAATATGATGGCTCAATACATTTTTTTCTCTTCTATTTGGCCAAAAATGTGTCTTAGGATATTAAAGGCTGCAGAACCCTGCTGTTTTTATTTCTTCTGACTGTGGTCTTTGACTGTCTCTCTGACTATCTGTCTGTCTCTTCAGTCTATTTCAGTCTCTTGTCCGCAGAGGTGTTGTCAGATATGTTTTCATTAACATTCCCTGCTGTGATAAGGACAGTGATTACCCATGATGCTCTGTGTCCTTCAGTCTTTAAATAACAGCGCTGATAGTGTCCTGCAGAGGGTCTTAAGATAAAAACCAGAAAATCAAACTCACTCTTTAAGGTTTTGATTTTAGAAACACTATGACTCTATTAATACCTGAAGGTGATTTTTAACTTTGACTATTAACCCTCGAGGCACCTTGGACCCCCATTATAACTGCATATATAATGCTTTTCCCATGAATGCCTAATTAATCTAAGCTGCTACCTTCAAAATACAGGGAAAGGGTTTTAGGTGTGATGACACCCCCCCCCCCAAACCACCAGGGGCAGGTATTTAGTTGTGGAAATATTGAATGTTATAGAGAAAACCTTTATAGAATAGATTTATAGATAAAACAAAGTCATGAACCAACTTTGGCAGAGAAGAAATCACTTTATGTTTCAATAACAAATCCTTCTGAAAGATCAGCGGCACAATAATCATACAGACAGTGAGGACACGTGTGAACAATCAACAACTTCCTTATTCAGGGAATACAGTCACAATATTACAACACTTACATGAAATGATCTGAAGTTGATATTTTAGGATAGAACTCAACTGAATCATAATAATAGTGATGATCTGCCCATATTGATTACAACATATAACGTGATCACATACTTTATAATAATAATATTGACTCTTATAATGGGGTGGATTATGTTGTGTCATTCATTGAGTTATTGAATATGTGTGAGTTTAGACCGAATAACATTATATCCCATTATATTACATTTATCAAGCTGAGGCTTTAATCCAAAGCGGCAATAAATGCCTTCAACCAAACAAACCAACAACTAGAATACCCATGAAAGAACATAAAGTTAATCAAAATTGACTTTTAACAGAGAATGAACATTTAAAAATTAAATATACTCATACTGACAGTAACATACACCCAAAAGTCAGAACACACACTTGGCATACATCATGTTTTACAGGTAATAAACAGGTAATAACATGATAAATGGTGATGAACAGGTAGTAAACAGTAATAAACGGGAAGTAAACAGGTAGTAAACAAATAACAAACAGGTATAAACAGGTTAAAGAAACGGTTAAAAAAACCAGGTAATTAATAGGTAATAAGGAGTTAATAAACTAGTATAAATGAATGATAAAAGGGTAATAAACAGGTAGTGAACAATAATAAATGAACAGTTAATAATTAGGTGATATACAAGTAAACAGAGGGAACACACTGAACAACAACGACTTGATTATTATTATTAATGACAGAGTCAGGGTTCATACTGAGTTATTATTGACAGATCTGATCACACTGCTACATTCTGGAATATCAGCAAAATCTGGACACACATTAAGAGATCAATCAATGTTCATGTTGTCTCAATCTGTATATGATCAGTGATCAATACAGACAGCTGAAGATATAATGACACATTAAAGATCAATACCTGATAAATCCTTGGGAAGCAGTTTCTCTCTGATGACTGAACTCAAATCAGAAAATACCACTTCCTCATCTCTGTCTGCATCCACCTACACACAAACACACACAGAAACGTTAGTTTGTTGTTCAGTTGTAGCTGTGTCAGCAGTAGAGCTGCCCCCAACTAAAGTTCTTCTTTGTCAACTAGCAGTCGTTAGATAAAGCCAATAATCAACTCTCATTCGGGCCCCACTCCCCAGCAGTATTCCCCGCTGCGTCCCTCTGCTCCTGGTAATGTTTAAACTCCCCCTGTCCTTTCAGCTCCCGGTCCGGCTACAGACAGCTCATTCATAGCTTTCAAGCCATCACCACTCAAAAGAAGAAAAATAAACATACGGTTAAGTAACATAAGTTTTGGGTTCTTGTGATCCACATACAGACCTGCCACAGGATTTAAGTAATTGAACAGTGAAGTCCTGCCAGAGCTCCAGTGTGTCATCGTTAACATTTCTCTTGTGGAGAATCCCTTCTCTCACACTGCCCACCAATATGAAAGCATACAAAAGTACAGACTGGGGATGTCCCAATCCAATCTCAAAGATTAGTGTCCGTGCCAATCAAGGCATTTTTTTAGATGATCCGTATCATTTATATTGAGCTTTATTTACCTGATCATTTATTTTATGTCAGGTCTCTGTCACTGTCTGCCTCTCCACTTTGTGCAGGACCAGCACTGCCCACTGTCAATCTCCACAATGGAGAAGAGACAGTGGTAGAGATCAGTCACAACCACACTCAACACGCTACTACAAGTACAACAAAAGCCCCACAAAGAAAAAGCGAATAAGAGGAACTGATTAATGTAATCCATCAAAAGCAGAATTCAGGTAATTCTGGTGCTTTGGTGCACCCAAACACTGGAGAGAGAAACTCCCCTCAGACAGCGACCAGGAAGAAAGATTACAGTGAAAGTTTTATTGAAGTACAACCAAGTCCTCCTACTCATCTGTTAATGCATCTGATCACACAACAGTTCAATAGACTCTTCTCAACGAAGAGTCTATTGAAGTTGAATGGTTAAGTTGTTTATTAGGGGGCAGCTCTAGTCAGCCGGTGTAGCTGTATCATCAGGTGTACCTGTGTCAGCAGGTGTAGCTGTCTGTAGTATCTGCTGATGGAGACGATGTCTCTCTGAAATGTCTCCAGGCGTCTCCGCAGGGCGTAGCTATTGTCTCCTAGGAGACCGAGCTGAGTGGCTCGTCGCTGCAGACGACAGCGCAGCGTCTCATTGGAGCAGAGTAGCAGCATCACTAGATCAGGAGAACCAATCTGAACGGCGGGCAAAACAGAGTAAATGTGAGGTATTTCCTGTTACTGACGCTGTGTCATACAAAGAAAAAGGAGAAGTTGAAATTCGAAGCAACCTACTTTACAAACTGCACTGAGCTCTGTGATTGGTCCATACCTGTTCCTGGAAGCTAAGAGCCTGGTGGACATCTGGAGGGAATCCATCCACAATGAACCCTCTGACCTCCTGCTGACCAATCAACTGTCTTCTCAGCTCTGAGATCGTCTCTTCCTACAAATAGAGCATTTGTTTACAGTGTCCAATCACAGGTGATGTATTCAAGGTCTGGTTAAAGGTCATGATTGGTAGTTCAGGGATGAAAACTCTGACCTGTGGTCCCAGCTCTCCATGGCCCATCATTTCTGAAATAACCCTCCACTTCCTGCTGGGGGAGGCGTGGCTTAGCAGCTGCCTTCTGAGCAGCTCATCCAATGAAAGGACTCTGAGGCTGAAGCAGCGAGCTAGCTTAGCTGCCTGACTTCCCTTCCCACTTCCTGGACCACCTGTTGAGAATAAAAGAATCACATTAGTGATGGTGTGTTTGGGCCTTCTGAATGGAGTTTGGTTGAATATGGCTGTGCTAACTTAGTTCAAGAGAGAGAACATGTTTTTACCATATATCTTTGTAAGTCCTGATTTTTAGAGCCTGGAACACTTTTGTCTGTCTTGATTGACAGCAAGAAGGGCAATCCAATAACAACAAACATGAGTGTGATAAGAACGACCTAAAAGACAGAAACTATCTTCTCAAAGTCACCAGGGGGAGATAGAGAGAGAGTCTATACTGCAGTCAGCCACCAGGGGGAGATAGATAGAGAGAGAGTCTATACTGCAGTCAGCCACCAGGGGGAGATAGAGAGAGAGAGTCTATACTGCAGTCAGCCACCAGGGGGAGATAGAGATAGAGAGAGAGAGAGAGAGAGAGAGAGAGAGAGTCTATACTGCAGTCAGCCACCAGGGGGAGATAGAGAGAGTCCATACTGGAGCTGGAGCTGTCTACCATGAGGTCAGAGTTCAGAGCGGGTTGAAGGTTGAACATGGAACATGAGAGGCACTGGTTTAGACTTATTCTGGTTACAGTTTCTCTTACCGATGATGAAGATGATCAGAGGACGAGACCTCCGAGGAGGGAGGATGCTGACTTCCAGAAGGAGTCCAGAACTTTCCGTCATGTCAGAGTCTGAGTCTATGGAAAGCTGAGACTGGACTGGGGAAGGAGGAAGACCAGGAGAGGGAGCTGAGAGGAGGGACATTGTGAAGAGTCACATCAAATCTCTGAGACTCAACAACTGACTGACTAAACTCCTGCAGAACCGAGAACTTGGAGAAATTAACTCTTTAAGAACTGAACACCAAGAGAACAAAAATCTCAGAGACCTGAACTTGCAGAGAACCAAAATCCGGAAGAACTCATAGAGAATCTAATTTAGTATTCCTCAGTAAGTGAAGTCTTACCCTCTGTGCTCACTGTTTCCTGTTCTTTCTCTGTCCCCCTCTTGGAGTGGACAGGTCGGGCCACTGCAGGTCCAGGTGGACCCAGGGTGAACAGTTTGGGTTCAGGAGTTGTTTGGGCAGTTCCAGGAGGTGTTTTACTGTTGATGGTGGAAACCTGGGGTGTCAGTGGGACTAGGGCAGATGTTTTGGGAGTTTGGGGCCCAGAATGTGTTGGTGGGGCTACCATGAATGTTGGATGCATTGGGGGTGTTATCCAAGGTGTAGTAGATGTTGTTTGTGGTATTGAGGGTATTGTTTGGGGTATAAGGGGTATTTTCTGTGGTATAAGGGGTGTTGTTTGGGGTATTGGGTGTATTTTTTGGGGTATTTGGAGCATTGGGGGTGATATTTGGGGTTTTATAGGGGGTAGTACTGTGATTTTGGGAGGTATTGATGGTGTTAAAGGAAGTATTAGGGGTGCTGTTGTGGGTATCTGGAGTATTATTGGAGCAACTGATGATGTTGTAGGGGGTACAGATGTTGCTTTGGGGAGTATTGAGGATATCTGGGTTATTATTGGGGCTACAGATGTTGGTCTGGGGGGTATTGAGGGTATCTGGCTTATTATTGGGGGGACAGATGTTGTTCTCGGGGGTCCGAGGCTCAGTTGGAGTCTCTCCAGGTGAATAAAGGTGTCCCAGGCGACGGACTCAGGACCCCCCAGCTGTCTGGTTGTGATCAGGCAGCGCTGCAGGAAGTCGACGGGGTCCTCAGGACGATGATACAGAAGACCTGTTAAAAGACTCTGAGACACACATTGATTACTGTTGACTGACTGATTGATTAGTGTGATTGACAATAATTAGAGCTGCCTCCCTGATCTCACCAACTGTTATCTATACACCATCAGCCAGGCTCTATAACTGGATATACCTCAGAGAAGGTGTCTGTCTGTCTGTCTGTCTGTCTGTCTGTCTGAGAGTTACTCCATAAGTAGAATAAGGGTAATTTTCTGTCTGTTATGACTCAGAGTAAACAGCTGATTATTTGACTGGATAAAATGCTCTCTCTCTCTCTCTCTCTCGCGCGCTTTCTCTCTCTCTCTACTTCTATCATGTTAAGTGCTGTAACCATGGCAACCGTCTGCCCATCATGTCTGTATGCCAGGTATGGGAAGAAAAAAAAGGATTCAGTATCCTCAATAACCCCCAAACCTCTTATATTGTCCAAATCAGCCAATCAGCTGCTGAGATGTTGTCCATATAGCTGATTATTAATGCTAATTATGCTAATTGGAGCATCAGTCAGTGTAACTGCTGGAGACCCAGACTGAACATTTCTAACAGTAAACTGCTTCATGGTGAGAAAATATCGTCCAGGAACTATTTTCCAAACAGTTTCAGATGGTTCTGTGTAACAAACCCATCTGGAGCAGTCAGGTTAGGAAACAGTTATTTTAATGAACCAGTGTTCAGTTTAATAGCAGCTCATTATAATGGGAAACTTTACTTGTTTTTACAGAATCTGTTACACATATTTTCAGATTATTAGAAACAAAATGTTCTTACAAGAAACATTTCTTGTCTCATTTTTATCCCGCAGTAGTTTTTTCTAGCTGCTATCTGTCAGTCTTCTTCCTTCAACACATAAAAAGATTCTTCTTATAATGTGTGAAATAATAATGATGAATAAAAAAATTCAATGAGGAAATGTTTCCAGTAAAAACAGAATAATTTATTATCTAATGACAATTAGGAAATATGTCACAATAACATGAAAAATATATTTTATAATGTGAAACAGATCATCAGAGCTTTAGAGTAAGAAATCTGCAGCAATTTAAATGAAATTAAATCAGAAACTGTCTCACCTCCAGTAGCTGAGGGACATGATGGTGAGACAGGTACTCCTTTGCTTCTTTGGTGCTCATCATCAGCCTCTTCTTCTTCTTCGTCTGTTTCCTTCTTTCTTTTTTCTCTTTTTTCTCTTCTTTCTTTCTTTCTTTCTTTCTTTTCTTGTTCTGTTCTTATTGTCCTCTCATTTTCTTGTCAGTAGGTCCTTCTTCTGTATTTCTGGTCAGAATGATTGACAGCAGCATCAGGTGGCTGGAGCTGTTGCCACGGTAACATCTGTATTTAATCATGGTGTTATTGTGCTAACAAGGCTAACGAGACACAGAGTATCATCACAGTGACACCTGGTGGTAGAGCAGAGAACTACAGACTGTTGGTATTTGGCATCTGAGTTGTGCTAATGAATCAAATCCTTAATTAACCAAAATATTTTTCATGTATGTGTTGCTTTATTTTTCAGTGCACTGCACTGACACTGAACATTAATAAAAGATTTCTGTAAGTCGCCAGAGTTAGCCAAGAGGATCATTTTCATCTCTAGAACCAGGACAGACAGCACAGAGGCTCATAATGCAAAACCACTGACAGGTATTGGTAGTAATATGGACTATATAAGACAATATTAGACGCTACCTGATACATAAAACACAGTGTAATATGTAATATATATATAATATAACAACAACATGCAGTTTATTTTCAGTGCTGACACACCTGAGTATTAATTAACCCTTTAACAGGATTTGAATGGGGCCGTGTGTTTCCAGTTCTCTGCAGCTTTACCAGAAAATACTGACAGCACTGGGATAATGTGATTCTTTCTTGTGAACCTCTTGTGAACCAATATGCAGTCATTCTTATGTTAAACTGTAGGTCCATAAATACTCTTGCACAGATGAAACAAGAATCTCCATATTTAATCAATCAATTAATGGTATGGGAAATGACCATAAAGTGCGTGTACATCTTGACAGCCTCTGTTGACATGTAATCTCAAATGAACCTGAAATTTGAAAGATTGAATTTGACCTTGTTACAGACCCTTTTCACCTGAGCTTTGAAGGAGAGTTTGGAATCAATCAGAACTCTGAGGTACTTGTATCCAGACACGAAAACTGGCTCTAGACTGGGACTGTTTCTGGAGAAAAACATGCATACTGGTTTAGACACATTAGTAGCAAACAGCATCGCTTCAACCATGCTGTTACATGAACCATTGAGTTTGACAGTCCATTAGCAACTTGTGTCATACTGCTACCATGTAAATTAATTACAGTGTCTTCTGCATACATTTGGATGTTGGTGCCGGGACATACAGGTGCAAGATCATTAATATATAATGTTTATGGGCCCAGGGTAAATCCTTGTGGGACACCTTTGGACAAACCAAAAGGCAGCTGATTGATGAGTCTGTACTGTGATCCAACAGCACCTTTATCTAGTTAAGATTTGATTGTTTCTGTTTAAAAGCAGTTGTCCTTTGCAGTTGAAGAATTGGATTGGGTGCAGGGAAAATGCAACTGAACTAGTGTTCAGATGGCATTGATTTTCTCTGTGACCATAAGATCTATAACAAATTGAATAGATATATCCCTTTGCTCTTTATTGTTTAAGATATCTGATCATTCTCATTTCCTCTCATTCAGTGACATTGCTTATGCTCCATTGTATTAACTGGATGTACAGGTGAAAAACAGAGTGCAATGGTAGCTACAGAATACAACACAGCAGTGGTTTAAAGCTTCAGTTACTTCAGTTGGATTGTTTGTAACTTTACATTTACTTTAAGTTCAAGCAGCTTCCCTTCTTTATCGTGATGTTCTGGTATTGTTTCACGTAGATGTGACATTATTTGTGAAAGGTGCTGTAATGACCACAACTTAAACTAACGGTAATCCTTGAGGTCAAAGTGCATCCACTAACAGTATTCACTGCCACTGATTGTTATTGTCAGTGTCTGACAGCATTATGGAAAGGATCCCTACAGAGTTAGACCTTTAGTTTAACCACAAACTATCACTATCACTCTCCACCAGACTCCACGACTCCACTATATCCTTACATAGCTAATAGTTGTTTGCTGCTATATTAATGTTCATGATATAAAAACTTTAATTATAACAAATGATGACAGCAGTTTACTGGTTTATAGAAACTTTATTTAAACACTGTGTGAGGCCCACAGCAGAAGAGCAGCATTATCTGGTTCAACTGAATGGACCTCACAACAATGCAGGAGTGTTGTGTGTGTGTGTGTGTGTGTGTGTGTGTGTGTGTGTGTGTGGATTTGGCAGCCTCTCTCTGGTTGATATAGCAACCGTGATGTAAGCCCACAGGGGGGGTTTGTCCCCTCTCTCTTTCATTGTGTCACTCTGTGTGTATGTGTGTGTGTGTGTGTGTGTGTGTGTGTGTGTGTGTGTGTTAATGGGTGTGTGCTGACCAGCCCATGGACTCAGTCACTCGGTGGAGAAACGAGACGAGTCGAAGGGGCGATTACTCAACGTGGAAACGAGGAGAGAAAGCTGAAGAAAAGTTTGTGATGTTGAGGTGAAGTAACTCTTTACTGAAAACTTTATTTAAACAGTTAATTTGAACAGAGTTAACGTTCTGTCTTGTCATCTGTTCTGTCGACAGAAGAAAACTTTACTGAAACTTTGTCAGGAAAAACGTTTCAGTGATTAATTGTTGGATTTTGCTGTTGGATTTTGGAGCCACACAGAAACTGTCTGTGTGTAGTTTCCTGTGACGGCCACTTGGCGGTGCTGCAGACTGGTATTTTAATGAATGAAGCCACTAATTAATGCATTCATGTGTGTGTGTGTCCTTTGTGTTGTAAATGTGATTAGACACTCTGTGGGTTTGTGTTGTTGTTGACCTACTTCTGATGAAAGCAGACCAAAGGCCGGCTACTTTAACGTGGACTGGGTGAGACCAGATTGCTTTATATCCCGTCAGTGCTCAAATTCTGTTGTTGATGTAGTTTTTAATTAAGTTTTAGTCTCATTCTCTCTGTGAGGTCCAGTTTTAGTCTTCCATACTGCCAGAAGAAAGAAATAATATCTGCAAGAATAAATCATTTACATTGAGTAAATCGCTCAGTTCACTTTAATAAATCATTTGCCCTTTTAAAATGGATGTTTTGGGTGTTTGTTAAAGCTTGTGATGCCACAGTTCAAGGTTACTTTATTTGTACTCAAAAGTAGATTTGGTTTGCAGACCAGACTCTTATTTACCCTCACCGAGAGGAAGACCTTTTCAGCATCCTTCTGGTCTGTCAAAGTGCTGATTGTCTCCAAGTTTGTGAATTTCATGACTAAAATCAAAAATATCAAAGTGAGTATAGAAACGATTAAGGGATTAATTAGCGAACTCCACATCTGAATTCAAGCCATCCAGAGCGACGTGGCTGCTGTTCTTTGGGTTCTGGAGCTCTGCTATCATTTTCATGCTAGACCCTGCCAAGCTTAATCAAGATTGTTTGCAGCCATTTTGCCCTCTAATTCGGATTTATAGTTTTGTTTTTGAAAGTGCTATCTTCAGTTACTCCCTCTTTAAGAACGTGTTTCTTTCTCTGTATGCTGGACTTCAATGGCTTGTTGTTAGGGTACATTTGAACTCACTTACAAAGAATGATCATGTCCTGACAAAAGGCAGCATGTGAGCATGTTACATCAACACGTTTATCCAAATCATCGCCACAAGATAGTTTAAACATTTCAGTGCATTCATAACATTCCTGCAAGCAGAGCACAGATTTTTCTGTCCATACTTCTATGTCCTTTGTCTGTGCTTTCTCTCTCTTTTAAACTGTATTATATCTGAGCAGAAAATGTACTTTGTGTCACTGTATTTATTTCTATTTTATGGTGTTTTCTGTCTGTCTGTCTGTCTGTCTGTCTGTGTATTATGTTGGTTACCTTATATCTGACAATTGTGATACACTTTAAATCATCAATCAATAAAGTATTTCTGATTTGTGTCGATTTGTGACGTCTCTGATCTTGAAGGTGTCCAAAAATAAAGTTAGTTACTAAGGAAACGGTCACACGTGCAAATTCAGATGAGCTGAAAAAAGTTCACCAAAGTTTAATTTTGGCTCTGCAACTGAAAATGAATGTTATTAGGCTCGTTGGAGAATTGATCACTGCTGATTGCCACACAGTGCATGCTGGGTAGATTTGAGACATGCGGGCAACGATAACCTCACAAGATCAAGGCGGACGCAGTTTATAGAACCAGGCGCCACATTTTCTCTCCACCGACTGCAAAACCCAGAGCATAATGGGAAACTGTAGCTGCTGATGGTTTAATCTGTTACGGACAGATCTTGTGTATTTAGTAATAATAATAAAGTTTGTTTATAGATCTGAACATGGTCTTAACCATACAGACAACCTACAGATACTCTAATAGGATCACACATTTCTTTTAAGGAAACTGTTTCCTGTTGTCTGATCTTGTCCACTTCAGTTCATCTCTAACCAACCTAATGTGTGAATGTACTCTCTCTGTCCAAGTTTAGCCCCTCCCACTGATGATCATAGCCCCACCCACAGCTGCAATATGGCTGACAAAAAACTCTCAGGTTTACCTCCTCCACCCCTGTCTTCACCCTCTCACCAGAATGGGAGCATCGGGGGGGCAGCATCCAAACACTCTCCAGCCCCGCACCATAATGGCAGTGTGGAGGCCGGACTGGGACGCAGTCCCAGTAACACCAGTGCTCCCAGCAGCAGGACCCCAGCCTCCTCCTCACCCCTCAGGACCCTCAGGACTCTTGGAGGTCTAGTGACTCCTGCACCAGCTGAAGGCAGCTCCTCCAGGCCCCGGGGTCAGAGCCTCAGCTCTGCTCTGAGCTCCAGGACCAGAACCATGACTTCGATGAGCAAGGTAACTGTTCAGAGTGATCCAGAATGTGAACTGGTTTGCAGAACTGAATGTTTCAGGTCTCTACAAAGTGTAATCTTCAGCTTCTGGGATTGGCTGTTAGTGAAATGCATTTTTGGAGTCACAGTTGACTTCTCTCAACTCAACTCTTAAGTCCATAGACTTCTTGTACCTCTGATTTTTTTTATCAAAGATGGTGCGATTATTCACCTCACGTTACTCTTTAGTTTACTGCAACAGCATCCTGTACGGCAAGTACATCCAGAACTCTGCTGCTCGTCTGCTCACCCACACCCGAACCCGTGACCACATTACCCCTGTCCTCCAGAACCTTCACTGGCTCCCGGTCCCACAACGAATTAAATTAAAAATCCTCCTCCTCACACACAAAGCCCTCCATAACCAGGCCCCTTCCTACCTCACTGACCTGCTCCACCGCCACAATCGATCCCGTAGCCTCTGCTCATCTGATGCAAACCTCCTGACTCCACCACCCAGGACCAAGCACCGAACCTGGGGCGACAGAGCCTTCTCTGTTGCTGCCCCCTCCCTCTGGAACTCTCTCCCCAAACAAATCCATGACTGCACCGACCTTCCAGTGTTCAAATCTTTGACAAAAACTCACCTTTTTAAAATTGCTTTTAATGTTTTGCTTAGTCCGATGTGTTTTTAGTGTTTTCACTATTTGATGTTGTTTTTGCTGCTTTTATGTTGTTTCTATGTAAAGTGTCTTTGAGTATTCAGAAAAGCGCTTACAAATAAAATGTATTATTATTATTATTATTATTACCGGCGGGATCATTTGTACTCATACCGCTGTAGTAAGACTAGCGTTACTCAGGAGAGTAACTATTGCCCTTTAATCTGTCTTACTACGGCAGTATGAGTCTAAATTAAACAGATTTTGCTGTGGTTTACTTTCAATAAACAGATCAAAAGGATGTGGGCTCAAGCAGCCGCTCTGTCTCTTCGCTTCTCCACACACTGAAAAAATTCAACATATGTGCAAACCTTCTCTCAAAGTTAAAATAATTTCAACTTGTGTAAAATTGCACATCGATTGGTACCTTTGCATTGACTTTGTATGTAATCTACATTTAGTGGGTACACAGCATTACACAATTGTTGATTTTCTGATTGTCTGAGAACATGAATCGTGTTTAATAACCCACGGGTGGTTCCTGCGTTGTTGCTGTAGCGTAGGAGCAGCCAGCAGGAGGAGCCAGAGGCATTGTTGGACCTGATCCTGGAGTGTCAGGGTCAGAGACTGGACGACCAGAGAGCCAGCCAAAGCCTGCTGCCTGACCCAGGACCACCTACTCTTTGTGGGGCCTGCAGCCCTGACCAGCCCACCCTGCCTAGTCTAGACTTCTACTATATGCTGATAGACTACCAGGTACCAACATAAAAATATTCTCCATTGGCAGCTTTTACAGAGGAAACATAATGACACTATAGTGATGTTTGTCATCACAAGAGAAAACATTCAGAGGTTGAAACATTAGTGAAATGTTGTTTTGTTTTTTCTTGTTTCCAGTTGTGAGTAGGATGCTGCCATTTTAAACTATGACTCACTTGGTATTTTATACAATGTCCGGGCAGTACAGACTGTCAGTGGAGGTGGAGGGCCTTCTAGAGTTCAATAATTCTTTGAAATTGAAGCACAGATGTTGGAAAGAGAGCCTGAAACTAGATCTGTCTGCTACAGTTCAGGAATGTCCCACAGGGCAGTAGAAAGCTTTCAGGTTGAATAAAAGGAATGCGTGTTCAATAAACTGACATTCAGTTGGCAACATGTGGAAAATCTGAACAGAAGACACTGAGAGAGACAGAAGGTGTCCCAGTAGGCAACAGGAAGGTTTACAAATCAGGGTACTGGAAGGAGCAGGGTATGGGTGGAACAGGGTACATGATACCTCTCCAGGTATAAGGAAACCATCAACCACCAGGAAACAGGGTACAGGGTACAGGCAGGAATAGAAATCAGAATTCAGCCAACACTTGGTACAGGCAGGAACAGGGTGCAGATAGGAAAAGGGTACAGGTAGGAACAGGGTACAGACAAGAACGGGGTAAAGCCAGGAACTAGGTACAGACAGTAACGGGGTACAGATAGAAACAGGGTACAGGGTACATGTAGGAACAAGGTACAGATAGAAACAGGGTACAGGGTAAAGAGAGGAACAGGTTAAAGGCACAAAAGAGTACAGACAGGAAAGGGGTACAGACAGAAACAAGCTACAGACAGGAACAGGGTACAGATAGAAACAGGGTACAGGCAGGGACAGGGTACAAATAGGAACAGAGTACAGACAGGAACAGGGTACAAATCAGAACAGGGTACAGACAGGAAAAGGGCACAGACAGGAACGGGGTGAAGCTATGATCTAGGTAAAGACAGGAACAGGGTACAGACTGGAATAGGGTAAAACCAGGAACGACGTACAGTCAGAAACAGGGCACAGACAGGAACAGGGTACAGATAGAAACAGGGTTCAGACTGTAAATGGGTAAAACCAGGAATGAGGTACAGACAGAAACAGGGTACAGGGTAAAGAGAGGAACAGGTTAAAGGCACAAAAGAGTACAGACAGGAACAGGGTACAGATAGAAACAGGGTACAGGCAGGAACAGGGTACAAACAGAAATAGGGTACAGACTTACCTGACTTACTTCCCATCTGCCTGTTCCATGGGTCTTACTGTCTGCCTGTGTACAGTCTGACAGGATGGAGGACCAGAGGTGTTCCCTTCCTGATCTGGTTCCTGAGGGTCAGGAGGATTTCTTCAGTCTGGTTCAGAGAGTCCAGTCCAGGAGGATGGACGAGCAGAGAGCCTCACTGCTGCTGACACACACTGAGGACGACATTAACACACACACCACTGGCTCCTCCCCCCACCACCATCATCATCATCATCATCACCACTGATGAAGAGGGTTCTTAGGAGCCCTACTGGGTTAGGGTTTTATTGGAACATTTTGGACTAAAACCAGAATCCAGACTATGTTGTTATGGAAACTGAAGACCAGAGACCAGATGGATGTCTTCCTATTGTTCTCCAGGAGGTCCTAGGTTCCACCAGTTCTGTGGATCAGTGACTATATTGATTCACATCCTGCTGCCAATCTCACTTTATTCTCGTCATCATTATCAGGTGAACATCCTCTGTTGTAACACCTGACAGTCTGTTCCTGTTCAATATATCAATGATCTAATATCAATACCTTAACCTCCTCCCATAATAGTCTTTGATGAGTTTAGAAAGACGTTTTTATCATCATTAACTAATTTGTGCAACTGAAAGTAGTTAGTGAACTTTGGTGGAAGTGTTCTATTTCTTGAAGCACAAATCTGATCACTTTTTTAAAGAGTTTGGCTGAAAAGTTAGTTTTTCTTATCATACTATAAGAATCATACTATATCTTAGGGCACGCTAAGGGACTTTACTGTTGTTAAAATGGTATAAAATAAGCAGTAAAAAGAGAGATTTTCATTATTTTCAGTAATCACACACAAGGGGCTCCTAGCTATATATTCCATATAAATTTAAGAAATAAAGAGAAAGAACAATCAAATATTGGATATCTATGAACTCATAAGATATCGGCGCTATACAAATAAAATTGAATTGAATTGAATAAGTTGATTGGTACGGAAAAAAAAAATATATATTTTTAGGGACCGAGCCAGCAACCGCTGGAGGACCCTTTTGTTTTTGTTGTTTCTTCTTCTTACCTATTATTATTTTTAGCCCCCTTTGACTGCATTTTTGCCCCCCTGAACATATACGAAAACTCAATTTTATTATTTAGTTGTCAGGCCTGGTGAAAATGGGGATATTCTATGCGTTGCTTTTGGGTTGGCCACTAGGTGGCGCTACTATCATAAAAAGTGCGTTTAGGCTAATTACTTCGGCATAATTTATCGCACATACAAAAACCTTATGTCCATGCGTTCGGTGAATGGAGCTGAATCTCCTCATATAGGCCATGCCCACTTCTGCCCAGAATTTTTTTTTTGCTAGAGTGCGAAATGTCCATAAACTACTTTTTCGTGTTCCTCCTATGCCCTTTGTCCGATTCGTACAACATTTTTCACGTAGCATCTGGGGACCATCCTAATAAAAAATTAATTTTGATATTTCAATAAATAAGCACGATATAAAATTAGCACTTTGTGTAGATTTTTCGTCAAAAAAGGAAGTGGACCATTTCTCCACATTGGTATGTCCGATTGACACCAAGCTTGGGTCGATAGTTCCCCATGTCTTCCTTAGGCATCTTGCACAATTTCAGGTCATCACCGCTAGGTGGCGCTCTTTAAAATGAAGAAGTTTATATCTCTGCAACGGCACGTGTGATTAAAATGAAAATTGGTACGTTGGCCATTTTGAATTCTGTGGTCATACAAACTGTAGATGAAAAGTTGAGCTATTTGTGACGTGCGTGCCAGTGATGACTTGTCGAATTCAGTTGATTCGCCATAAAAAAGTCTCATAAGTTCAGTGTGCAATGTCCAATCTCCAATAAACTTCATATATTCTGTAACATTCCGCCCTGAACACGTCCTCATAACTTCAACGTATGTGGTCCAATCTCAATGAAACTTGACGTGTTTGATAAGAGTCCCGCCGTTAACACGTCTACATGACAATATTAAGACATAGTAATAGCGGCACCTACTGGCAACAGGAAGTAAGCCCTGAGTGGCGATTTTGAGCTGATTTACGTGAAATTTTCATGTTGCGGTCCACACGTGTAACGACAGCATGGGACGCATACACAGCACACCCCAAGTTGCATGGAGTGCAAGGTCCCGCCCAACGCTGCTTGCAGCTTTAATTTGGTTTGTTTTTCAGAGTAATTATTTTTTTGTCTGTTTTTCGGAGTAATTATTTCTGTTTATCGGAGTAATTTATTTTTATGGTTGGTTTTTCAGAGTAATTTTTTTCAGATTTTTTGAATAATTATTTTTTATGTTTTTTGGACTAATTTTCATGGGAGTCACTTGCAGGTTGGAGGTTCTCGCAGGAGTTCGAAGTATCTCGATAATTCAGAAAAGAAATTACTCTGAAAAACAGGGGGAAAAAATTACCACCAAAAACAGAAAAAATTACTCAGAAAAACAGGAAAATAATTACTCTGAACAACAGGGGGAAAAAATTACCACGAAAAACAGAAAAAATTACTCCGAAAAACAGGAAAATAATTACTCAGAAAAACTGAAAAAATTATTCAAAAAAACAAACAAAAAAAATTACTCAGAAAAACCGGAGTTTTTTTTTTTTCAAGTGAATGCAATTCGCTTCCGTAAATTATGACCATTGACAAAAGTGTGATTTTTCATGGGATCCAAAAATGTAAAGGTTGTACTCTTAGATACTCAAAAGTATGTCCATACCAAATTTCAAGACTATAGACCAACCAGAACACGTTTTAAGGTATTTTCCCTTATCCCTCTAAACAAAGTCTGAAATGGGACCAATTCAGCTCATTTCCAGTTCTATAATCTCAGTCTGAGACAAAGCATCCTTGTTTATCTCATGGTCAAAATCCACCAGGTACGGCCATGACGCGTTCTAGAACTGATGACACCCGTTGTAGACAACGCTAGTGATTCCACCAGAAGTGTCTCTCCGCTCTGTTCCGTGGACAATACGTGGCTGCTCTATTTTTGAGGGAAACAGCAACCAACTCACGTCAAGCAGATCATACTGACAGGAAGTCAGACTCAGGACAAAATTCACAAATCAAGTCGGGCAGGAAGGCGCTCTGAAGTTAGCTAATAGCTTCATGTTAATGTCCATCAGTGAACTCTGTGAATCCCTGAGAGTTGAGGCAGAGAAGGTGCAGACATCAGAGGAAAAAGCAGAAAATGTGTAACTTTCTAACCAAACTCCATTCAGAAAGTATTTTAAAAGTTGTTCAACATCAATTCAATTCAATTCAATTCAATTTTATTTGTATAGCGCCAATTCATAACAGAAGTTATCTCAGGACAATTTTCAAATAGAGCAGGTCTAGACCGAACTCTTTAAAACATTGCATCACAACATCACAATGTACTTATTTCAGCATCCTTTTGAACCGTTTATTGACATCAAATCACAAAAACACCTTATTTTGGGCTTGAGATGAAAAGTTGCCATTAGACAGACTGAGGGTGTCCCTGTATTTGGTGAGCATGTTCAGTCGTGCTCTGCCTGCAGCAGATAACCAGATAAAGAAATCTGTGACCAGCTGACGTTGGATAATACTTTTACATAAGTTTACCTTGAGATTTAACATCAACATTCACATTGCGCATTGTATACATGAAATATATGATTTATATTATATATATGACTGAATGGATCACCTTAAACATTTCTCCCACATTATTAACTGATTTACTATTAATATTTGAAAATCTGTTATCTGTCTGTCTGCTGATTTTTGACGCTCTGCCCTGACAAATTCTAACATTTTAATGAGTGAACCTTTTAAACAGATGTTTGATGATTGTATGTTAATGATGAACTCTCAGCTGTTTGATGAATCTGACTCATACAAACAAACCTGACAGAAAAAAGTCTTCAGGAGATGAAGAGACAGTTTTGCACTCAGTAAGTTTTTTGTACTTTGAGTTCCTGACAAACCATCAATAAGAGACACTGGTTCCAACCTGTAGATTTCACATTGATCAGTATCAATAACAGCAGAGAACAGCTGATCAACTAATCAATGAACCCAAACAGTGAACTCAATAACTGCAGGATGTTATTTTATTATTTCCTGTGAATATTGATCAGAGATGAGTTTTCCTGATATATTGATCCATTCTCTGTCTGTATTCTGTATTGTTATCATTTTAACAATCAGACTTAATATTCTTCTTTCTGACAGATTCAATTCAATTCAATTCAATTCAGTTTTATTTGTATAGCGTCAATTCATAACAGAAGTTATCTCAGGACACTTTTCAAATAGAGCAGGTCTAGACCGAACTCTTTATAACATTAATTTACAGAGACCCAACAGTACCACCATGAGCAAGACCTTGGAGACAAGGGCAAGGAAAAACTGCCTGTTAAAAGGCAGAAACCTAGGACAGATCCTCCGGCTCTAGGTGGGTGGGAGAGAGAGAGAGAGAGAGAGAGAGAGAGACAGACAGGTGCACAGCAACAACAGTTGCAATTCACTGTTTATTCTCATTGTTCTATCAGCTGTTTAGTTGTTTGAACTCTAATGCTCCCCTTTAAGAAAAGTTAAGAAAGTCTCACGATCCCCTGTGATCCCTCTAGTGGAGGTCCGACCTCCAGGGTGGGAACCAGTGTATCAGAGAACGTGTGTCTGAACCTCTGATGTGTCTTTAACTGTCGATTGAGGAGTTTGTTGACATTCTCTGTGACGTTCAGGTAGCGTTTTAAAATCATTAAAATCAGTTCTTCTGTTCATTTAACTGTACTGACATTTAAAATGAATCTCATGTCAAAGTGAATCTGTACTTTCTGTGTCACTGCTGAACTCTTGGTGTGTTTGTGGACCCACAGTCTTCCAGGTTCAGGTCTGTGTAGAACCAGGGTTCCTGTGGTGAACAGGAGCTGTGAGAGGTGGACTCCTCAGGGTCCTGGACCTCATGTTGAAAATCTCTTGCTGTGTGTTTACCTTTAATGCTGTGTTCCCACCAAACATGAAGAAAATTATTAATGTGAGTAGATCACATACAAAGTCACAGCAAAGATGAAAATAAATGCAAATTCGTGCCGGGTGAAGCAAATTGTACAAACATGCAAAATAACCCCTGTTTGCAATTTCATCAAGTTGACAACATTGAGCATTGAGGTGGTCATTGTGGAGTATGACGGGGATTGTCTCTGCGGAGGAAAGAGAGACAACTGCTGGAGCCCTGCTGGAACCCACAGACAGCTGCCCACAGACAGCAACCCACAGACAGCCTGCTGGAGCCCACAGACAGTCGCTGGAGCCCACATACAGCAGCCCACAAAAATGTTGAGCCCACAGACAGTCGCTGGAGGAACCCACAGACAGCTGCCCACAGACAGCAACCCACAGACAGCCTCTGGAGCCCACATACAGCAGCCCACAGACAGTCGCTGGAGCCCACATACAGCAGCCCACAAACAACTGCTTGAGCCCACAGACAGTCGCTGGAGCCCACAGACAGCTGCTGGAGCCCACAGACAGTCGCTGGAGCCCACAGACAGCTGCCCACAGACAGCAACCCACAGACAGCCTCCGGAGCCCACATACAGCAGCCCACAAACAACTGCTTGAGCCCACAGACAGTCGCTGGAGCCCACAGACAGTCGCTGGAGCCCACAGACAGCTGCTGGAGCCCACAGACAGTCGCTGGAGCCCACAGACAGCTGCTGGAGCCCACAGACAGTCGCTGGAACCCACAGAGTCACACCAGATCCTGATCTGATCTGGAGACGTTTACACTGTTTATTACTGAAACTGTGGCGATTCTGAATAAAGGTAATTGTGTTTTTATCTGAAATAAAAGAGAAACAGAGTGAAGTTACAGCCTTTACTTCAGTAACAATACAGTTATATGTTATATATATATACAGTATATATATATACACACTATTAATAGCAGTAATTAAAATTATTAATAGCAGTAAGTAACATTATTATTCCAGTAATTAGCATTATTAATAACAGTAGAAATGTGCTTCCATAGGGAACAGAGATGAAGGACAAAGATCTACTTTATTTGGGATCAGGAAACTCAGTCAGAGTGAGACCTCCTTTCCACCGCTGGATCTTCGAGGTACCCCGCGCATGCGCTATTAGAGATCAGGAAATAAACAAGGAGCGTCGTGCTTTGCAGCCCGCGTGCATCCGAGAGGAGACGGTGAGTCGATTAAACTGTTTAAAACTATTACATTAGACCCGGACCCGGACCCGAACCGGGTCTCACAGACAGACTCTGTCGTCCTTTAGGTCGGATTCTGGTCTGGAGTCGTTAGTTCAGGTTTTAGACTAAAACCGCGTTAGTACGGGAAGAGAGGAGGACAAACAGTGAAGACTACTTGATTGTAATTAATTACTTATTGACTGAGATTGATTGATTGTGATTGAGTCAATCATAGTTACAGTATTACCAACAGTAGAGATTATAATTCATTTATTGTAAATATTGTTTTCCTTTATTGTTATTATTATTATTTTTAATTCCAAACACTTGCTTTAGCAATATGTACAGAGTTACATCATACAGAGAGAGAGAGAGAGACAGAGAGAGAGAGAGACAGAGAGAGAGACAGACAGAGAGAGAGACAGAGACAGAGAGAGAGACAGACAGAGAGAGAGAGAGAGAGAGACAGAAGAGAGAGAGAGACAGACAGAGAGAGAGAGAGAGAGACAGACAGAGAGAGAGAGACAGAGAGAGAGAGACAGACAGAGAGAGAGAGAGAGACAGAGCGAGGGACAGAGAGAGAGACAGACAGACAGAGAGAGAGACACAGAGAGAGAGAAAGACAGACACAGAGAGACAGAGAGAGAGACAGGCAGAGAGAGACACAGAGAGATAGAGAGAGAGACAGACAGAGAGACAGACAGACAGAGAGACAGAGAGAGACAGACACAGAGAGAGAGAGAAAGACAGACACAGAGAGAGAGAGAGACAGACGGACAGACAGACAGAGAGACAGGCAGAGAGAGAGAGACAGGCAGGCAGAGAGAGACAGAGAGAGAGACAGGCAGAGAGAGAGAGAGACAGACCGACAGAGAGAGAGACAGAATGTTTCATTTAATCTGACTCATCAACTGCTATCCCAAATGTTTAGGAGCACCCCCATAAAACCCGTGGGGGCAGTAGTACAGGGACGGGGGGCATTAGTACAGTGACGGGGGGCAGTAGTACAGTGACGGGGGGCAGTAGTACAGTGATGAGGGGGCAGTAGTCCAGTGACGGGGGGCATTAGTACAGTGATGAGGGGGCAGTAGTACAGGGACGGGGGGCATTAGTACAGTGATCAGGGGGCAGTAGTCCAGTGACGGGGGGGCATTAGTACAGTGATGAGGGGCAGTAGTACAGTGACGAGTGGGGGCATTAGTACAGTGACGAGTGGGGGCAGTAGTACAGTGACGAGTGGGGGCATTAGTACATTGACGAGTGGGGGCATTAGTACAGTGACGGGGGGCATTAGTACAGGGACGGGGGCATTAGTACAGTGACGAGTGGGGGCAGTAGTACAGTGACGGGGGGCATTAGTACATTGACAAGTGGGGGGCAGTAGTACAGGGACTGGGGGCATTAGTACAGGGACGGGGGCATTAGTACAGTGACGAGGGGGCATTAGTACAGTGACGAGGGGGCAGTAGTCCAGTGACGGGGGGCATTAGTCCAGTGACGGGGGGCAGTGCTACAGTGACGGGGGCAGTGGTACAGTGACGGGGGCAGTAGTACAGTGACGAGTAGGGGCAGTAGTACAGTGACGAGGGGGCAGTAGTACAGTGACGAGGGGGCATTAGTACAGTGACGAGGGGGCAGTAGTCCAGTGACGGGGGGCATTAGTCCAGTGACGGGGGCAGTGGTACAGTGACGGGGGCAGTAGTACAGTGACGGGGGGCATTAGTCCAGTGACAGGGGGGCAGTAGTACAGTGACAGGGGGCAGTAGTACAGTGACGAGGGGGCAGTAGTACAGTGACGGGGGGGGGGGGGGGTGGGGGCAGTAGTACAGTGACGAGGGGGCATCAGTCCAGTGACGAGGGGGCATCAGTACAGTGACGAGGGGGCATCAGTACAGTGACGAGTGGGGGCAGTAGTACAGTGACGGGGGGCATCAGTACAGTGACGAGTGGGGGCATTAGTACAGTGACGAGGGGGCATTAGTACAGTGACAAGGGGGCAGTAGTACAGTGACGAGGGGGCATTAGTACAGTGACGAGTGGGGGCAGTAGTACAGTGACGGGGGGCAGTAGTACAGTGACGAGGGGGCATTAGTACAGTGACAAGGGGGCAGTAGTACAGTGACAAGGGGGCAGTAGTACAGTGACGAGGGGGCATCAGTACAGTGACGAGTGGGGGCAGTAGTACAGTGACGGGGAGAGGGCTCCAGACTAACTTTTTGCACTGGTGTGCCTAACTTTTTTTTTTAGGTGCACCAGCACAAAATTTAGGTGCACCCAAATTTTTCATTGCGTCACCTTTAACGCCATAAGGTCACCTTTTTATTGCTCTCCATTACTTTCATATAATGTGAATGATTTTTAAACAAGAATAAGGTGTAGAGAAATGCTTGTCTTTATTTGAAGCACATTTATATATAAAAAGAAAAATAAAGTGTTTAAAGTGCTTCACTGAACATTTCCAATTAAAAGAGGACCTGATTACTACTACCTGCCGCTGAAATGCAGCTGGGAGAGGGGCCACTTTCTCTACACACTCGTCACGGCATATCGTGTGTTTTTTAGACACGTTATGTTTTTTTAAAGTTTCGATACGAAACGTTGTTGACCCGCTCACGAATGCACTATTTCCGGCCATATTCTGACCGCACTCCTGACAGTACACGCAGTGCATTGCGTTACGTCCTTTGTTGAACCTCAGCCAGGGAACTTGTTTCAGCCAGTCCTGTCTGAAGGAATATATTTTGACCTTTTTAATTTGGGTCTCGGAGCCGGGCTCTATCCCAGACTCGGTTGTCTCCTCCTCTGGTTCCGAGTCTGATGCTGTCGCCGAAGGACCGGGGCTCGGCAATTTTTAAACACGCAATTTAGCGCGGTGATCAGGACCACAGCCAATCAGAGGCAAAGACCCGCCCGAGCTCTGTCTCTTATTGGTTTAGAACACGATATGATCCTACCATGAGTGTGTGAGTTCGCTCACAGGAGAACACAGAGAGATGATGCGCTTGCGAAATAAATGTATGTTTTCACCCGGGCAGCGTCAGGTGCTCCAGTGCGACCCAGAAAAATTATTAGTCGCACTCTGGAGCCCTGGATGGAGGGGCTGCTGCCTGCTGGGGCTCATTAACCAGTTCAGTTCTAACATACATTCATTAATATTTCTGCTGTTCACTAACGAGAGTGTCTGCTTTATAATATTAATATTATATTATTATATGTTTATATATTATTATATATTAATATTCATTCATCTCATCTTCATCCGCTTATCTGGGGTCGGGTGGCGGGGGTAGCAGGTCCAGCAGAGGACCCCAAACTTACCTTTCCCTGGCTACATCGGCCAACTCGGCCTTGGGGATCCCGAGGTCAGTGTGGAGATAAAATCTCTCCACCTGGTCCTCGGTCTGCTCCGTGGCCTCCTATCTATATCAATATATATAGATGTGTGTGTGTTTAATATATATTAATATTGTATATTTCATATATAATATTCATATATTATTATATATAAATATTATATATTTAATAGTTACTGATTGTTTCTCCTCAGCACCTTCAACAACAAACTGATCAGCAGCATCGAGGCTGTTCCTCCTCCTGACATGAAACCTCCTGCAGTCTCTCCCTCCCCTCAGAAGAGGAGGAGGAGGAGCAGGTCAGACAGTCTGGAGGAGTTTCCTGTCGACATCCACACACCTGACAGAGTAGAGAAGAAGAAGAAGAAGAAGAAACACAAGAAAGAGGAAGAGGAGTCCAGAATTACTCCTCTTCCTCTTCCTGCTGCTGCTGATGGAGAAATGAACAGCCAGAAGGAGGAGGAGGAAGAGAAGAACAAGAAGAACAAGAAGAAGAAGAACAAGAACAAGAACAAGAGAGAGGAGGAAGAGGAGGAGTTGCAGGTTATCGTAGAATCCAGTGAGACAGAACAAAAGAAGAAGAAACACAAGAACGTCGCCATGGTAACAGCAGACCCTAACAACAGCAGGACGAAGGAGGAAGAGGAGGAGAGCATTGCCACGGTAACGGACAGAAAAAGGATAGAGGAGAAAAAGAAAAACAAGAAGAAGAAAGATAAGATAAGTGTGGTGATACCCCAGGAAGAGAGGAAGAAGAGACCAAAGAGAAGAGCTGTCGGAAAAAAAGATCAGTGAGTTTTTATTGTTATTATTTTATTATTTATTATTAGTATTATAACGTATATTCCTCCAATCAGAGTGCAGTATTCCTCCAGTCCAATCAGAGTGCGGCATTCCTCTGGTCCAATCAGAGTGCAGTATTCCTCCAGTCCAATCAGAGTGCAGTATTCCTCCAGTCCAATCAGAGTGCAGTATTCCTCCAGTCCAATCAGAGTGCGGCATTCCTCTGGTCCAATCAGAGTGCAGTATTCCTCCAGTCCAATCAGAGTGCAGTATTCCTCCGGTCCAATCAGAGTGCGGCATTCCTCTGGTCCAATCAGAGTGCAGTATTAACAGTGTATTTCCTGTGTTGGCAGGTTGGACTGGGCGTTAGTGGCCGAGCTTCAGGAGTTCATTCCAGACGTCAAAACTAAATCAGCTGATGAGATCAATAAACTGCTGAGATACGATCTGAAACGCTTCAAGTACTTCAAACAGGAAGGTACTAATACTACAAACAGGTACTAATACTACAAACAGGAAGGTACTAATACTACAAACAGGAAGGTACTAATACTACAAACAGGTACTAATACTACAAACAGGTACTAATACTACAAACAGGAAGGTACTAATACTACAAACAGGAAGGTACTAATACTACAAACAGGTACTAATACTTCAAACAGGTACTAATACTACAAACAGGAAGGTACTAATACTTCAAACAGGAGGTACTAATACTTCAAACAGGTACTAATACTTCAAACAGGAAGGTACTAATACTTCAAACAGGTACTAATACTTCAAACAGGAAGGTACTAATACTACAAACAGGTACTAATACTTCAAACAGGTACTAATACTACAAACAGGAAGGTACTAATACTTCAAACAGGTACTAATACTTCAAACAGGAAGGTACTAATACTTCAAACAGGTACTAATACTTCAAACAGGAAGGTACTAATACTACAAACAGGTACTAATACTTCAAACAGGTACTAATACTTCAAACAGGAAGGTACTAATACTTCAAACAGGTACTAATACTTCAAACAGGAAGGTACTAATACTACAAACAGGAAGGTACTAATACTACAAACAGGAAGGTACTAATACTTCAAACAGGAAGGTACTAATACTACAAACAGGAAGGTACTAATACTTCAAACAGGAAGGTACTAATACTACAAACAGGAAGGTACTAATACTACAAACAGGAAGGTACTAATACTACAAACAGGTACTAATACTTCAAACAGGAAGGTACTAATACTACAAACAGGTACTAATACTACAAACAGGTACTAATACTTCAAACAGGTACTAATACTACAAACAGGAAGGTACTAATACTACAAACAGGAAGGTACTAATACTACAAACAGGAAGGTACTAATACTACAAACAGGAAGGTACTAATACTACAAACAGGAAGGTACTAATACTACAAACAGGTACTAATACTTCAAACAGGAAGGTACTAATACTACAAACAGGTACTAATACTACAAACAGGAAGGTACTAATACTACAAACAGGTACTAATACTACAAACAGGTACTAATACTACAAACAGGTACTAATACTACAAACAGGAAGGTACTAATACTACAAACAGGTACTAATACTTCAAACAGGAAGGTACTAATACTACAAACAGGTACTAATACTTCAAACAGGAAGGTACTAATACTACAAACAGGTACTAATACTACAAACAGGAAGGTACTAATACTACAAACAGGTACTAATACTTCAAACAGGAAGGTACTAATACTTCAAACAGGAAGGTACTAATACTACAAACAGGTACTAATACTACAAACAGGAAGGTACTAATACTTCAAACAGGAAGGTACTAATACTACAAACAGGTACTAATACTTCAAACACGTACTAATACTACAAACAGGTACTAATACTTCAAACAGGAAGGTACTAATACTACAAACAGGAAGGTACTAATACTACAAACAGGAAGGTACTAATACTACAAACAGGTACTAATACTACAAACAGGTACTAATACTACAAACAGGTACTAATACTACAAACACGTACTAATACTACAAACAGGAAGGTACTAATACTACAAACAGGAAGGTACTAATACTACAAACAGGTACTAATACTACAAACAGGAAGGTACTAATACTACAAACAGGTACTAATACTACAAACAGGTACTAATACTACAAACAGGAAGGTACTAATACTACAAACAGGAAGGTACTAAAACTACAAACAGGAAGGTACTATTACTACAAACAGGTACTATTACTACAAACAGGTACTAATACTACAAACAGGAAGGTACTAATACTACAAACAGGTAATAATACTACAAACAGGTACTAATACTTCAAACAGGTACTAATACTTCAAACAGGAAGGTACTAATACTACAAACAGGAAGGTACTAATACTACAAACAGGAAGGTACTAATACTACAAACAGGTACTAATACTTCAAACAGGAAGGTACTAATACGACAAACAGGTACTAATACGACAAACAGGTACTAATACTACAAACAGGTACTAATACTACAAACAGGAAGGTACTAATACTACAAACAGGTACTAATACTTCAAACAGGAAGGTACTAATACTACAAACAGGTACTAATACTACAAACAGGAAGGTACTAATACTACAAACAGGTACTAATACTTCAAACAGGAAGGTACTAATACTACAAACAAGGTACAAATACTACAAACAGGAAGGTACTAATACTACAAACAGGTACTAATACTACAAACAGGTACTAATACTACAAACAGGTACTAATACTACAAACAGGAAGGTACTAATACTACAAACAGGAAGGTACTAAAACTACAAACAGGTACTATTACTACAAACAGGTACTAATACTACAAACAGGAAGGTACTAATACTACAAACAGGTACTAATACTACAAACAGGAAGGTACTAATACTACAAACAAAGGTACTAATACTACAAACAGGAAGGTACTATTACTACAAACAGGTACTAATACTACAAACAGGAAGGTACTATTACTACAAACAGGAAGGTACTAATACTACAAACAGGAAGGTACTAATACTACAAACAGGAAGGTACTAATACTACAAACAGGAAGGTACTAATACTACAAACAGGTACTAATACTACAAACAGGAAGGTACTAATACTACAAACAGGAAGGTACTAATACTACAAACAGGTACTAATACTTCAAACAGGTACTAATACTACAAACAGGAAGGTACTAATACTTCAAACAGGTACTAATACTTCAAACAGGAAGGTACTAATACTTCAAACAGGTACTAATACTTCAAACAGGAAGGTACTAATACTACAAACAGGTACTAATACTTCAAACAGGTACTAATACTTCAAACAGGAAGGTACTAATACTTCAAACAGGTACTAATACTACAAACAGGAAGGTACTAATACTACAAACAGGAAGGTACTAATACTACAAACAGGAAGGTACTAATACTTCAAACAGGAAGGTACTAATACTACAAACAGGAAGGTACTAATACTTCAAACAGGAAAGTACTAATACTAGAAACAGGAAGGTACTAATACTTCAAACAGGAAGGTACTAATACTACAAACAGGAAGGTACTAATACTTCAAACAGGAAGGTACTAATACTACAAACAGGAAGGTACTAATACTACAAACAGGAAGGTACTAATACTACAAACAGGTACTAATACTTCAAACAGGAAGGTACTAATACTACAAACAGGTACTAATACTACAAACAGGAAGGTACTAATACTACAAACAGGTACTAATACTACAAACAGGTACTAATACGACAAACAGGTACTAATACTACAAACAGGTACTAATACTACAAACAGGAAGGTACTAATACTACAAACAGGTACTAATACTTCAAACAGGAAGGTACTAATACTACAAACAGGTACTAATACTTCAAACAGGAAGGTACTAATACTACAAACAGGTACTAATACTACAAACAGGAAGGTACTAATACTACAAACAGGTACTAATACTTCAAACAGGAAGGTACTAATACTTCAAACAGGAAGGTACTAATACTTCAAACAGGAAGGTACTAATACTACAAACAGGTACTAATACTACAAACAGGAAGGTACTAATACTTCAAACAGGAAGGTACTAATACTTCAAACAGGAAGGTACTAATACTACAAACAGGTACTAATACTACAAACAGGTACTAATACTTCAAACAGGAAGGTACTAATACTACAAACAGGAAGGTACTAATACTACAAACAGGAAGGTACTAATACTACAAACAGGTACTAATACTACAAACAGGTACTAATACTACAAACAGGTACTAATACTACAAACAGGAAGGTACTAATACTACAAACAGGAAGGTACTAATACTACAAACAGGAAGGTACTAATACTACAAACAGGAAGGTACTAATACTACAAACAGGTACTAATACTACAAACAGGAAGGTACTAATACTACAAACAGGTACTAATACTACAAACAGGTACTAATACTACAAACAGGAAGGTACTAAAACTACAAACAGGTACTAATACTACAAACAGGAAGGTACTATTACTACAAACAGGTACTATTACTACAAACAGGTACTAATACTACAAACAGGAAGGTACTATTACTACAAACAGGAAGGTACTATTACTACAAACAGGTACTAATACTACAAACAGGAAGGTACTAATACTACAAACAGGTACTAATACTACAAACAGGTACTAATACTACAAACAGGTACTAATACTTCAAACAGGTACTAATACTACAAACAGGTACTAATACTTCAAACAGGTACTAATACTTCAAACAGGAAGGTACTAATACTACAAACAGGTACTAATACTACAAACAGGAAGGTACTAATACTACAAACAGGTACTAATACTTCAAACAGGAAGGTACTAATACGACAAACAGGTACTAATACGACAAACAGGTACTAATACTACAAACAGGAAGGTACTAATACTACAAACAGGTACTAATACTTCAAACAGGAAGGTACTAATACTACAAACAGGTACTAATACTACAAACAGGAAGGTACTAATACTACAAACAGGTACTAATACTTCAAACAGGAAGGTACTAATACTTCAAACAGGAAGGTACTAATACTACAAACAGGTACTAATACTACAAACAGGAAGGTACTAATACTACAAACAGGAAGGTACTAATACTACAAACAGGAAGGTACTAAAACTACAAACAGGAAGGTACTAAAACTACAAACAGGAAGGTACTAATACTACAAACAGGTACAAATACTTCAAACAGGAAGGTACTAATACTACAAACAGGTACTAATACTACAAACAGGTACTAATACTACAAACAGGAAGGTACTAATACTACAAACAGGAAGGTACTAAAACTACAAACAGGTACTATTACTACAAACAGGTACTAATACTACAAACAGGAAGGTACTATTACTACAAACAGGTACTAATACTACAAACAGGAAGGTACTAATACTACAAACAGGTACTAATACTACAAACAGGAAGGTACTATTACTACAAACAGGTACTAATACTACAAACAGGAAGGTACTATTACTACAAACAGGAAGGTACTAATACTACAAACAGGAAGGTACTAATACTACAAACAGGAAGGTACTAATACTACAAACAGGTACTAATACTTCAAACAGGAAGGTACTAATACTACAAACAGGTACTAATACTACAAACAGGAAGGTACTAATACTACAAACAGGAAGGTACTAATACTACAAACAGGAAGGTACTAAAACTACAAACAGGTACTAATACTTCAAACAGGAAGGTACTAATACTTCAAACAGGTACTAATACTACAAACAGGAAGGTACTAATACTACAAACAGGTACAAATACTTCAAACAGGAAGGTACTAATACTACAAACAGGTACTAATACTTCAAACACGTACTAATACTACAAACAGGTACTAATACTTCAAACGGGAAGGTACTAATACTACAAACAGGAAGGTACTAATACTACAAACAGGTACTAATACTTCAAACACGTACTAATACTACAAACAGGTACTAATACTACAAACAGGAAGGTACTAATACTACAAACAGGAAGGTACTAATACTACAAACAGGTACTAATACTACAAACAGGTACTAATACTACAAACAGGAAGGTACTAATACTACAAACAGGAAGGTACTAATACTACAAACAGGAAGGTACTAATACTACAAACAGGTACTAATACTACAAACAGGAAGGTACTAATACTACAAACAGGTACTAATACTACAAACAGGTACTAATACTACAAACAGGTACTAATACTACAAACAGGAAGGTACTAAAACTACAAACAGGTACTAATACTACAAACAGGAAGGTACTATTACTACAAACAGGTACTATTACTACAAACAGGTACTAATACTACAAACAGGAAGGTACTATTACTACAAACAGGAAGGTACTATTACTACAAACAGGTACTAATACTACAAACAGGAAGGTACTAATACTACAAACAGGTACTAATACTTCAAACAGGAAGGTACTAATACTACAAACAGGTACTAATACTTCAAACAGGAAGGTACTAATACTTCAAACAGGAAGGTACTAATACTACAAACAGGTACTAATACTACAAACAGGAAGGTACTAATACTACAAACAGGAAGGTACTAATACTACAAACAGGAAGGTACTAATACTACAAACAGGTACTAATACTACAAACAGGAAGGTACTAATACTACAAACAGGAAGGTACTAATACTACAAACAGGAAGGTACTAATACTACAAACAGGAAGGTACTAAAACTACAAACAGGAAGGTACTAATACTACAAACAGGTACAGGTACTTCAAACGAGGTACTAATATACAAACAGGTACTAATACTACAAACAGGTACTAATACTACAAACAGGAAGGTACTAATACTACAAACAGGAAGGTACTAATACTACAAACAGGTACTAATACTTCAAACAGGAAGGTACTAATACTACAAACAGGTACTAATACTACAAACAGGTACTAATACTACAAACAGGAAGGTACTAATACTACAAACAGGAAGGTACTAAAACTACAAACAGGTACTAATACTACAAACAGGTACTAATACTACAAACAGGAAGGTACTAATACTACAAACAGGTACTAATACTACAAACAGGAAGGTACTAATACTACAAACAGGTACTAATACTACAAACAGGAAGGTACTATTACTACAAACAGGTACTATTACTACAAACAGCAAGGTACTAATACTACAAACAGGAAGGTACTAAAACTACAAACAGGAAGGTACTAAAACTACAAACAGGAAGGTACTAATACTACAAACAGGTACAAATACTTCAAACAGGAAGGTACTAATACTACAAACAGGTACTAATACTTCAAACAGGTACTAATACTACAAACAGGTACTAATACTACAAACAGGTACTAATACTACAAACAGGTACTAATACTACAAACAGGAAGGTACTAAAACTACAAACAGGTACTAATACTACAAACAGGTACTAATACTACAAACAGGTACTAATACTACAAACAGGAAGGTACTAATACTACAAACAGGAAGGTACTAATACTACAAACAGGTACTAATACTACAAACAGGAAGGTACTATTACTAAAAAGTACTAATACTACAAACAGGAAGGTACTATTACTACAAACAGGTACTAATACTACAAACAGGAAGGTACTATTACTACAAACAGGTACTAATACTACAAACAGGAAGGTACTAATACTACAAACAGGTACTAATACTACAAACAGGAAGGTACTATTACTACAAACAGGTACTAATACTACAAACAGGAAGGTACTATTACTACAAACAGGAGGTACTAATACTACAAACAGGAAGGTACTAATACTACAAACAGAAGGTACTAATACTACAAACGGGAAGGTACTAATACTACAAACAAAGGTACTAATACTCAAACAGGTACTATTTCAAACACGTACTAATACTACAAACAGGTACTAATACTACAAACAGGAAGGTACTAATACTACAAACAGGAAGGTACTAATACTACAAACAGGTACTAATACTACAAACAGGTACTAATACTACAAACAGGAAGGTACTAATACTACAAACAGGAAGGTACTAATACTACAAACAGGAAGGTACTAATACTACAAACAGGTACTAATACTACAAACAGGTACTAATACTACAAACAGGTACTAATACTACAAACAGGAAGGTACTAATACTACAAACAGGAAGGTACTAATACTACAAACAGGAAGGTACTATTACTACAAACAGGTACTATTACTACAAACAGGTACTAATACTACAAACAGGAAGGTACTATTACTACAAACAGGAAGGTACTATTACTACAAACAGGTACTAATACTACAAACAGGAAGGTACTAATACTACAAACAGGTACTAATACTTCAAACAGGAAGGTACTAATACTACAAACAGGTACTAATACTTCAAACAGGAAGGTACTAATACTTCAAACAGGAAGGTACTAATACTACAAACAGGTACTAATACTACAAACAGGAAGGTACTAATACTACAAACAGGAAGGTACTATTACAAACGGAAGGTACTAATACTACAAACAGGAAGGTACTAATACTACAAACAGGTACTAATACTACAAACAGGAAGGTACTAATACTACAAACAGGAAGGTACTAATACTACAAACAGGAAGGTACTAAAACTACAAACAGGAAGGTACTAAAACTACAAACAGGAAGGTACTAATACTACAAACAGGTACAAATACTTCAAACAGGAAGGTACTAATACTACAAACAGGTACTAATACTACAAACAGGTACTAATACTACAAACAGGAAGGTACTAATACTACAAACAGGAAGGTACTAAAACTACAAACAGGTACTAATACTACAAACAGGTACTAATACTACAAACAGGAAGGTACTAATACTACAAACAGGTACTAATACTACAAACAGGAAGGTACTAATACTACAAACAGGTACTAATACTACAAACAGGAAGGTACTATTACTACAAACAGGTACTATTACTACAAACAGGAAGGTACTAATACTACAAACAGGAAGGTACTAAAACTACAAACAGGAAGGTACTAAAACTACAAACAGGAAGGTACTAATACTACAAACAGGTACAAATACTTCAAACAGGAAGGTACTAATACTTCAAACAGGTACTAATACTACAAACAGGTACTAATACTACAAACAGGTACTAATACTACAAACAGGAAGGTACTAATACTACAAACAGGTACTAATACTACAAACAGGAAGGTACTAAAACTACAAACAGGTACTAATACTACAAACAGGTACTAATACTACAAACAGGTACTAATACTACAAACAGGTACTAATACTACAAACAGGAAGGTACTAATACTACAAACAGGTACTAATACTACAAACAGGAAGGTACTATTACTACAAACAGGTACTAATACTACAAACAGGAAGGTACTATTACTACAAACAGGAAGGTACTATTACTACAAACAGGTACTAATACTACAAACAGGTACTAATACTACAAACAGGAAGGTACTAATACTACAAACAGGTACTAATACTACAAACAGGAAGGTACTATTACTACAAACAGGAAGGTACTATTACTACAAACAGGTACTAATACTACAAACAGGAAGGTACTAATACTACAAACAGGTACTAATACTACAAACAGGAAGGTACTAGTACAGTTGAGACAACTGCAGTACACCTGTCTGTCTGTCCTCCAGGTGTGGCTCTGCGGCGGGGGCGGTGCACTCAGGAGGAGAATCGATTAATCAGACAAAACGTCGCCGACTTCCTGGCTCTGACGGGCATCAGCTCGGCCAATCAGCTTCTGTTTCCTCAGAGGTTCAAAGAGGAAGAGGCCGAGATTAAGAGGCTGAGAGCACAACATCACTTCCTGGAGAGGATCGGTAAGTAAACCGCTGGCTGTCGAGGTGGTGTCCAGCAAACGATGTGGGTTTCATTGATAACTGGAAGCCTTTTTGGGGAAAACCTGGTCTGATTAGGAGAGACGGCATCCATCCCACTTTGGATGGAGCGGCTCTCTTATCTAGAAATATGGCAAAGTTTATTTCTAAAACCTGACAGTCCAGAGTTGGGACCAGGAAGCAGAGCTGCTGTCTTACACACTTCTCTGCTCTTTCTTTAGAACAGTCACCCACCCAAAACCCCATAGAGACTGTGTCTGTCCCCCGACCACCTAAATTATTTAAAGAAATAAAAACAAGAGGAGTTCAACATAAAAATCTAATAAAAATTAAAACTAACTCCTCAGTAGCACAAAATAAGAGAATGAAATGTGGGCTGTTAAATATCAGGTCTCTGTCCTCTAAAGCTGTTTTAGTGAATGAATTAATATCAGATTATGATATTGATTTACTTTGTCTTACTGAGACCTGGTTGTCCCACGAGGAGTATGTTAGCCTAAATGAATCCACCCCCCCCAGTCATATTAATACTCACATTCCTCGAGGCACAGGCCGAGGAGGTGGAGTAGCAGCTATATATGATTCGAGCGTTTTAATGGACCCTAAACCTAAACTAAATTATAATTCATTTGAAAGCCTTGTTCTTAGTCTTTCTCACCCAAACTGGAAAACACTGCAGCCAGTTCTATTTGTTATAGTGTACCGCGCTCCTGGACTGTACTCTGATTTTATATCTGAATTCTCAGAGTTTTTATCAAGTTTAGTCCTTAAATCAGATAAAGTAATTATTGTAGGTGATTTTAATATTCATGTGGATGTTGACAATGACAGCCTTAGTAACGCATTTATATCATTAATAGACTCAATTGGCTTCTGTCAGAGTGTAAATAAACCAACTCATTGTTTTAATCACACTCTTGACCTTGTTCTATCATATGGCATTGATACTGAACATTTAATAGTCTTCCCACATAATCCTTTCCTTTCTGACCATTATTCAATAACTTTTGAATTCATACTATGAGATTATAAGCCATTAGGCAGAACTTCCTACAGCAGATGTCTATCTGACAGTGCTGTAGCTAAATTTAAGGAGGAGATTCTGTCAGTGTTTAATTCAGTGCCATGTCTGAATTTAATTCAGTTCAATTAAATTTTATTTGTATAGCGCCAATTCATAACAGAAGTTATCTCAGGACACTTTTCAAATAGAGCAGGTCTAGACCGAACACTTTAAAACATTATTTACAGAGACCCAACAGTACCACCATGAGCAAGACCTTGGAGACAAGGGCAAGGAAAAACTGCCTGTTAAAAGGCAGAAACCTAGGACAGATCCTTCGGCTCTAGGCGGGTGGTCGTCTGCCTCGACCAGTTGGGGTGAGAGACAGACAGACAGACAGACAGGTGCACAGCAACAACAGTATTGGCAATGGCAATCTAGCAGGACCATGGCAGGAGGCTCCACCAGAATCGATAAGAACCTGCGAGACGAGAAAGCACAAGAACTCCGGGGAAGAAGTGAAGTTAGTAACATGCATTAATGGGACATGAATGAGTGCAGAAAGAGAGAGGAAGAGAGGAGCTCAGTGCACCATGGGAAATCCCCCGATAGTCTAGGCCTATAGCAGCATAACTAAGGGATGGTTCAGGACTCACCTGATCCAGCCCTAACTATAAGCTTTATCAAAGAGGAATGTCTTAAGCCTACTTTATTTAACAGAGTCCTATAACAACTTTAGTCCCTCCGAAATTGATAATCTTGTTAATAGTGCTGCAGGCTCACTACGAAGAACATTAGATTCTATCACTCCTATGAAAAAGGAAATTATTAAAACATAGGAGACTAGCACCTTGGTATAACCACCAAACCCGCCAGTTAAAACAAATAGCTAGGAAATCTGAAAGGAAATGGCGCTCTTCCAAATTATCAGAACATCGCTCAATGTGGCATGATAATCTTAAAACCTATAGAAAGGCCCTCCGTAATGCCAGAGGAGCCTATTACTCAGCACTAATAGAAGAAAATAAGAACAACCCTAGGTTCCTCTTCAGCACTGTAGCCAGGCTAACAGAGAGCCACAGCTCTATTGAGCCACATATCCCCATAAACTTAAGTAGCAACGACTTTATGAGCTTCTTTTATAATATGATCACCAACTGCTATCAACAGTTATCAGTGGCTCTCCAAGTTCAGGAACTTTAACTAATGTAAACTTAGATATATATTTAGACTATTTTTCTGCTATTGATCTTCATCAGTTAACTTCAATAATTTCTACATCGAAGCCATCAACCTGTCTGTTGGACCCGATCCCAACTAGGCTGCTTAAAGAAGTCGTACCTTTAATTGGCACTTCTTTACTGGATATGATTAAACCCCTTCTTAAAAAGCCCACTCTTGACCCAGGGGTTTTAGCCAACTATAGACCGATCTCTAACCTCTCTTCCTCTCTAAGATTCTGGCGAAAGTAGTCACCAAAGAGTTGTGTGACTTTCTACATAACAATAGTTTATTTGAGGATTTTCAATCAGGATTTAGAGTTCATCACAGCACAGAGACAGCTCTGGTTAAAGTTAATAATGACCTTCTGATTGCTTCTGACAATGGACTTGTCTCTGTACTTGTATTATTAGATCTTAGTGCTGCATTTGACACCATTGACCATAATATTCTTTTACAGAGACTTGAGCATCAAATTGGCATTAAAGGAACCACACTAAGCTGGTTTAAGTCATATTTATCAGATCGTTCGCAGTTTGTACATGTTAACGATGAATCTTCAATAAATACTACAGTTAGTCATGGAGTTCCACAAGGTTCTGTACTTGGACCAATACTATTTACTGTTATGCAGATGATACACAGTTATATCTATCAATCAAGCCCAATGAAATTAATCAATTATCTAAATTACAAACATGTCTTAAGGACATAAAATCCTGGATGAGCTGCAATCTTCTGATGTTAAACTCAGAAAAAAACAAAATTGTTGTTCTTTGCCCCAAAAACCTTAGAGACTCACTGTCTAAAGATATAGTTACTTTAGATGGCATTACCTTGGCCTCTAGCACCACTGTCAGGAATCTTGGAGTTATCTTTGATCAGGATTTGTCATTTAACTCCCACATAAAGCAGACCTCTAGGACTGCCTTCTTTCATTTACGTAATATTACAAAAATTGGACACATCCTATCACAGACAGATGCAGAAAAACTAATCCATGCATTTGTCACTTACCTGATTACTGCAACTTTTTATTATCAGGTTGCCCCAATAAGTCCATTAAAACGCTCCAATTAATTCAGAACGCTGCAGCACGAGTACTGACAGGAACTAGAAAACGAGATCACATCTCTCCTGTACTAGCTTCTCTGCACTGGCTCCCTGTAAAATGTAGAATAGAATTTAAAATCCTCCTCCTCACCTATAAAGCTCTTCATGGTCAGGCTCCTTCATATCTTAAAGAGCTCATAGTACCCTATTACCCCTCTAGAACACTACGTTCTTTGAATACTGGGCTACTTGTGGTTCCTATAGTCTCTAAAAGTAGAACAGGAGCCAGAGCCTTCAGTTACCAAGCTCCTCTCCTGTGGAAGCAGCTTCCAGTTGTGGTTCTGGAGGCAGACACCCTCACCACATTCAAGAGTAGGCTTAAGACATTCCTCTTTGATAAAGCTTATAGTAAGGGCTGGATCAGGTGAGTCCTGAACCATCCCTTAGTTATGCTGCTATAGGCCTAGACTATCGGGGGATTTCCCATGGTGCACTGAGCTCCTCTTTTCCTCTCTCTTTCTGCACTCATTCATGTCCCATTAATGCATGTTACTAATTTCACTTCTTCCCCGGAGTTCTTGTGCTTTCTCGTCTTGCAGGTTCTTATCGATCCTGGTGGAGCCTCCTGCCATGGTCCTGCTAGATTGCCATTGCCAATACTGTTGTTACTGTGCACCTGTCTGTCTGTCTCTCTCTCTCTCTCTCCCTCTCTCTCTTTCTCTCTCTCTCTGTCTGTCTCTCTCTCTCTCTCTCACCCCAACTGGTCGAGACAGACGACCACCCACCTAGAGCCGAAGAGTCTGTCCTAGGTTTCTGCCTTTTAACAGGCAGTGTTTCCTTGCCCTTGTCGCCAACTGCTTGCTCATGGTGGTACTGTTGGGTCTCTGTAAATAATGTTATAAAGAGTTCGGTCTAGACCTACTCTATTTGAAAAGTGTCCTGAGATAACTTCTGTTATGAATTGGCGCTATACAAATAAAATTAAATTGAATTGAATTGAATTGAATTGAATTGAATCATCAGCAGCAGCAGCATCATCATTGTTATTGTTATCGGCATAATCAGTGATGGTCCTCTCTGATCTCATGTCTGTCTGTCTGTCTCTCTCTCTCTGTCTGTCTCTTTTTCCAGCTGAGGGGATCCCTCGGACGTGTCAGCAGGTTTACACCAGAGCCATAAAGATTTTTGACGATAGGAACCGCATGGGAAGGTCAGAGGGCAAAGTTCAACCTGTTTCTGTTCTCAGATAAGAATCCCATTACATTATGTCTGCAGAACCCATTACATGTTTACATTCTGTCTGCAGAACCCATTATATGTTTACATTCTGTCTGCAGAACCCATTATATGTTAACATTCTGTCTGCAGAACCCATTATATGTTAACATTCTGTCTGCAGAACCCATTATGTGTTAACATTCTGTCTGCAGAACCCATTTTATGTTAACATTCTGTCTGCAGAACCCATTATATGTTTACATTTTAGCTGTAGAACCCCTGCATATTTGTTATAAATGTAGAACCCTCTTTATGTTAACGTTCTAGCTGCAGAACCACCTTTATGTTAATGTTCTGTGTGTGTCCTCGGTCAGGTTCTCAAAGGAAGAAATACATTCTCTGCAGAAGTTACAGAACCTCCATGGTAACGACTGGAGAACGATCTCTAAGAAGATGGACCGTAGTATCTACGCTTTAGAGAAGCGCTTCGCCAGCATCGGTAAACACAAAAGTTCTCTGAGGTTCTCTCAGGTTCTCTTACACCATGCACACTCTTAGTCACATTGATTTGTGATCAAACTGAATTTCTGTGTGTGTGGTTCCGTCCAGCTGCAGGTCGTGGTGTGTGGAGTTCAGATGAGGAGTCCAGGTTGAAGCAGGCTCTGAAGGCTCACCTGGAGGTCCTGGACAGTCCTGCAGGATCTGGTCTGAGCAGAGACCAGCTGTGTAACAACCTGCCCTGGAAGGAGATCAGTCAGCACGTTGGGACCAGATCCTGGGTCCAGTGCAGACTCAAGTGGTCAGTACACTGAAACTGTGCTGGTGCTGGTACTGTAATGGTGCTGGTGCTGGTACTGCAATGGTGCTGATACTGGTACTGGTACTGTAATGGTGCTGGTACTGTAATGGAGCTGGTACCAGTACTGGTACTGTAATGGTACTGGTGCTGGTGCTGGCACGGTAATGGTGCTGGTACTGGTACTGTAATGGTAGTGGTACTGTAATGGTGCTGGTACTGGTACTGGTACTGTAATGGTGCTGGTGGTGGTGCTGGTACTGTAATGGTGCTGGTACTGTAGTGGTACTGGTACTGTAATTGTACTGGTGCTGGTACTGATACTGTAATGGTACTGGTGCTGGTACTGTAATGGTTGCGGTACTGTAATGGTGCTGGTGCTGTAATGGTACTGGTACTGTAATGGTGCTGGTACTGGTACTGTAATGGTACTGGTGCTGTAATGGTTGCGGTACTGTAATGGTACTGGTGCTGGTATTGTAATGGTACTGGTGCTGGTATTGTAATGGTACTGGTACTGTAATGCTACTGGTGCTGGGGCTGGTACTGGTGCTGGTGCTGTAATGGTACTGTAATGGTGCTGGTGCTGTAATGGTGCTGCTACTGTAATGGTACTGGTACTGTGCTGGTACTGGTACTGTAATGGTACTGGTGCTGGTACTGTAATGGTACTGGTGCTGGTATTGTAATGGTACTGGTACTGGTACTGTAATGCTACTGGTGCTGGTACTGGTGCTGGTGCTGTAATGGTACTGTAATGGTGCTGGTGCTGTAATGGTGCTGCTACTGTAATGGTGCTGGTACTGGTGCTGGTGATGGTACTGACTCTGGATCATGTCTCACAGGAACAGAGAGAAAGATGCAGAAGTATTTATTGTTATAGTACCAGTACTATAGTGTTGATAGTTTCACTCTTTCACAACAGAAAACCTTTGATACCTCAAATATAAACAGGTTTGAACAAAGAAAACAGATGTAGTCCAGGTGCTTAGTCGCTCAGGTGTTCAGCTGCTCAGGTGCTCAGATGTTCAGGTGTCCAGGTTCTCAGGTTCTCAGGTGCTCAGGTGTCTCTGTGTTTCAGGTTCTGCATCCTGAAAGGGAAAATGACTTCAGGTGTCGGTACCTTCAACAGAGGAGCTGAAGGACTTCAGACTAAAATCCAGCTCATTCACACGTAAGATCACAAACACACCTGAACAGGACACACCTGTGGTTCCTTTCAGAATAAAACTGTTCCATGTGAAGTTTTATTTTGAAAGGTCAATATAACCCATATGTCCAAAAGTATGTGGACAGCGTATTAGTAAAAGAATCTGAATCACTTTTTATTGACCAAGTATGTGCACACATACAAGGAATTTGACTCTGCTGTCAGTGTCCAATAGTCTAAGTAAACAAGTTCTATAAAAATAAATATGTAGTTACACATACATATAAACAAACATTTGTAGACAGTATATAATAGTGCAGTGGTGCAGAAAGTGACACTTTGATTCAATAATCAATAATTAATCAATAATCAGTCATTAATCAAACAATAATCATTGTGTGTTTCAGGTTGTACAACATGCGTGTGGACGATGTAGCAGACATCGACTGGGACGAGGTCGCTGAGACTGTCGGGTGAGGTCAAAGGTCAAACTGTTGTTAGAGTTCAGTCAGCTGATAAATAATGTGGTAATGCACTGTGACATTATTATTAGTACTAACAGTAATCCTGTTGTTGTTGTTGTTGTTGTTGTGTTTCAGTAAAGTGACCACTGTGTGTGTTCAGAAGAGTTTCCACAGACTGAAAGTTTCCAGAGTTCCAAACTGGACCAGTTTATCCTACGGAGGTCAGTAATGTAATACTCCACGACTAACTGTTCTAGATTAAACAAGCCAACAGTAAATAAAGTATTTCAAACTACGAGTGCTTTAAGAACATTTTACTGCACTACGAGTGCTCTGAGAACATTTTACTGCACTACGAGTGCTCTGAGAACATTTTACTGCACTACGAGTGCTCTGAGAACATTTTACTGCACTACGAGTGCTCTAAGAACATTTTACTTCCCTTTCCTGTTTGCTCAGAGATCATCGACTACCTGCAGCTGAGGGTCGTTCCTCTCCTGGAGGAGAGACTGAGAAAGTTGAGTAAAGAGAAGGGGAGCAGCAGCAGCAGCAGCAGCAGCAGCAGCAGCAGCAGCAGCAGCAGCAGCAGCAGCAGCAGCAGGAGGAGGAGGAGGAGGAGGCGGCGGCGGCGGAGGCGCAGGAGAACAAGTATCTGCTGTCTGACATCTTCAGCTCACACCAGGAGTATGTTGAGGTGGACAACAGTCAGCTGACCTCCAGACAATCAGGACACAGATAAACAAACACAGGCCCCGCCCCTGCTCCAATGTGATTGGCTGTCACCCGTCAGTGGACAGAATACAGACTGTGGATGAAAACATTTATTTTGAAGCTCCTGATGAATAAGATGTTGATGATGTTTTATGTCTTTAATGAAAGGATTTTTTTTCACCTCATCTGTCTTTCAATTTCAATTTTATTTGTATAGCGCCAATTCATAACAGAAGTTATCTCAGGACACTTTTCAAATAGAGCAGGTCTAGACCGAACTCTTTATAACATTATTTACAGAGGCCCAACAGTACCACCATGAGCAAGACCTTGGAGACAAGGGCAAGGAAACACTGCCTGTTAAAAGGCAGAAACCTAGGACAGATCCTTCGGCTCTAGGTGGGTGGTCGTCTGCCTCGACGAATTAAGGTAGAAATTCAGTTAATTAATGGATTATTATTATTAATGGATTATTATTATTCATGGTTTATTATTAATGGGTTATGTTTAATGGAATATATAATTAGTATTAATATTTACGTATTATTTTTCATGGATTCTAATAATTATAATAATTATTATTAACGGATTATGTCCAAACGCAGTGGAATACATTCATTCAATCTTACCTCCAGTTCTCTAAAACTTCCATTAACGATCATTAAAAACACTTAGTTGTGGACATTAATGAATAGATAAACTGATTTTGGATTCAACATTAAAGCCCTCGCTGGATTTTGTGTCTGAAAACAAAAATCAATGAATGCAGATTTAAATATTTGAAATCTTTATTAACATTAAAATCTGTTTTTAATGATCGGTTCTGAACTCATCATCAATAAATCAGAATTTATTTTTTAAATATCAAACATTCAGATTCACACAAATGTCACATCAGTTTCAGACGAGCAGGTTGGTTCTGCAGCGAGAACACAGAACCTGACTGAAGCACATCCAATAAGCCATTGAGCAGCAGTGGATTGTGGGTAGTGTAGTTCATCTGGCAGTGATAGCCTGCAGGCTGCTGGTCCTCTTCATGATGTTGGGGACGAACAGAAGTCCCGACGCTCTCTCGATGGTTTCTATTGGAACCAGGAACCGCTCCAGAGGAACCTTCTCGTCTATTGGTTCGTTTGGAAGAACATACGAGCGAAGTTCCACCCCCCTGCCATCCAACTGCTCCAGGATCAGCACCTGAAGAGACACAGGACAGGTGAGCAGATACAGGACAGGTGAGGTCATCATCCTCAGACAGGCGAGGTCATCATCCTCAGACAGGTGAGGTCATCATCCTCAGACAGGTGGACTCACCTTGAAGAAGTGTGTCGGCACAGCAACGTGGTTCCGACCTAAAACCTGATATCGAACGTAGAGTTTCCCATCAGCCTCCTGCCTGAAACAGACACACACCTGATGATGTCATCCTGTAGCTCCGCCTACACAACATTCAAACACCACAGAAGAATAAAGGAGTTACCTGGGCAGGTAGAGCGGTCCAGTGCAGACGTACACATTCAGGTAATGTTTGGTCAGAGAGCGACACAGTTTCTCCAGATTGTTCCAGGTGTTCTGGTTCAGGTGAGGGTTCTGTACACAGTACATAAATATATCTAAACTCTGGTTCTGCAATCTGTTCCAGGTGTTCTGTACACAGAACATAAATATATGTAAACTCTGGTTCTACAGACTGTTCCAGGTGTTCTGGTTCAGGTGAGGGTTCTGTACATAGTTAATAAATATATGTAAACTCTGGTTCTGCAATCTGTTCCAGGTGTTCTGTACACAGTACATAAATATATGTAAACTCTGGTTCTGCAATCTGTTCCAGGTGTTCTGTACACAGTACATAAATATATCTAAACTCTGGTTCTGCAATCTGTTCCAGGTGTTCTGTACACAGAACATAAATATATGTAAACTCTGGTTCTACAGACTGTTCCAGGTGTTCTGGTTCAGGTGAGGGTTCTGTACATAGTTAATAAATATATGTAAACTCTGGTTCTGCAATCTGTTCCAGGTGTTCTGTACACAGTACATAAATATATCTAAACTCTGGTTCTACAGACTGTTCCAGATGTTCTGGTGTTCATGGGTTTACCTGTGGAGCTACGTTGCTCAGGTAGAACGTGTCCTGCATGGCTTTCTGACTCCACTTGTGATTGGCTGCAGCAGCCAGGTGACCTCTGTCGAAGCCACTCCCCCTGTAGTCAGTGTTGGTCGCTCTGTGGAACACGTGTACACTGGGGGAGGGGGGGTTACAGTATAAACAACAATAAACAAGAAATTAATTTAGTTTCTTG